TTCGAGTGGGACACCCTGTATATACGCACGAGACTTGGCGAGTGCAACTCGCGTAGTTAGCCGTGGAAATGGAAAGCTCGCGAAACTGCGATCCTTTTCCCCACTCAAAGTGCTCCAAGAAAATCTAATTAATCTATACACTTCTATTTTTCATGTCCCGTCGTTAAATGCTCCTAATCGCGTTATTGCAATTATTTACATTTTGCTTAGCGCGTTAGCTTAAAATAGTCCGTGGACTTCGATACACGTACCGACGTCATTGCGTTGCTGCGAGTGTCCAAAATGGAAATTCGAAGCGGAAAATTCGTGTTCGACCCGTGAACCTAAGAACCACGAGATCAGCCGGTGTGCGTGCAAACTTAGGACGAGGTAAAGATGGAAATAAAGACGATCGCGAGCGACAAAAACTTTCTCGCGAATAAAATGCAATCAGCTCTGCTGGACAAACGTATTGTCCCGAAGCAAAACTCGGCCCGGAGAACAATTCGGCCCCGCTCCCTGCCGCCCACTTTTTTCCACGATTTCCTGCGTTACTAAATACCGACAGCGTGACTATCCGCGTCGAATCGATGAATTCGATCGATTGAATTTCGACAAATGTCCATTGTACACCGAGAGCGCTATTTCCGAGGGAACCGGCAGCGCCAGAAGCGACAGCCACGCGACAATGCAACGAAATCGCGTGCCCGCGATGGCAGGCTTGCAATTTCGTGTCATTAGATTTGTAGAGAACCGCAATTCCAACGGACCAAAGCTTTTCCATTTTTTCGCTAACCCGAATTCCCGCCGAATCTGCCTGATTCGGTCCCATCGTCGAGATAATGCTATAAACGATAGTGTTCCGCGGTAAAAAAGAAGATGGAAAATATTTGAACCCGTGCAACTCGAAAACCCGTATTTTCATGCAAAATCTTCGCTTTAGAGAGCAATTGCAATTAAAAATTATTATCATTCCAATTTTTATTTGTGTCCCGATGTGTTATATTGTATATGCACGTTACATTTTATCATCTGCTATCGTGCTAAATTCGGCTTACGAGTAATGTGTACCAAGTGCTCACAACCCTTCAATAACCGAATAAACGATAAACGAAAAGCTGCCATTTTACTTGTTCCCGTGCACATAGAGACGATAGGACTTTAACTCGGATTAAAATTTAATCCTACAAAATTTGGCTCGAAAAATATTTCCGCCATTTTCCATATATCAATCTAAATCGACACATTTCTTTGGAGAATACATATATAATCTATCTATGATAAACAACAGCGTTTAAAATTGAATTTTTTCCACTCTCCAAATCTTTATTTAACACTAAACCTACCGCGACCTAACCTAAAAATTCCGTACTCGACGTTATAATATTTCCTTATTTTTCTTATATTCTTTTAATATTTTTCCTTTCGCATTTTTTCAGATACCTTCTTTTATTTTTTCACATGCCGGTCATTTAACCGATCGCAATAGATTCACCGTTGGAGTTAAAAAATATTCCTTTTCCCACAAAGATTTTTCCAGCGAATTTCCGTTGATTAGACCTCGTTTACTCCCACTCGAAAACCTCGGTAAGTCGAAACTTCCATGACTCGAATATTTTATACATTTTCCCTTGAGGCTCGAGTTACCGAGGTTCGACTATACCCGGTGCTGAACGAAACGGTGTAATGGTAATTTCTACTGGTCCACGCGAGACGACGCGAAAAACCGGAAGCGATTTCGAGGATAAAACAAAAGGCACAAAGAACGCGACAGAAAGATTCTCGAGATCGAAGCAAATACGCCAGGATAAATGAATTTCGTATATTCGTTATTGAACAGCGTTTGAACAGGTGATCCTTTAATTATTTCGAGCGGTGTGCAGCAGCTTCGCGTAATTACATTACAGTTTACCACCAATTATCGTCGTATTGTTCCACGAGCTCGGCATTATCGGACCCACTACAACGCTCGCAATTAACCGGCTCGTCGTGCAATCGGTTTAAAACGATAAACGCGCTGCCGTGCGATCCCGTGACCCCGCCACGCTTTGTAAATGAGAATTTTATTATATACAGGGATTGGCGGATAAAAACGGTAACGGCCGCGTGCCACTGTTGCTTCATTAGCCGATCGGGCACAATAAGAAGCAGCGAGGCAGAGTTCGCAGCCAGGTGACTCACGCGGCGTACCGAGCACGCGAGACCCGATTGCTTTTAAATAGCGATGCATATTATACGCGAGGAAGGTCCACGCGCGCCCACTGATAAATTACGGCCCTGTATAGCTCGCGCAACGCGAGTCAACATTTGCAAACCGCGATCCTCTACTTGCGCGATCTTCTTCTCTTTTCCCCTTTCTTTTTTCCCATTTCTCCTTCCACCTTTTCTATATTATATGCCATTGCTTCGGTACTGCTCGAGCACTGTGTGAAACTTTCTTCGCGAATAATTCATCGTCGGCCGGCGTGATAATATTTCAGATGAAAAAGAGACTTACTTCGATGAATGACGATGAAATTTAGATCGGAGCGCGAGGAACGAAAGACACTTATTCATTATCGTTTCGGAGAGAGAGAGAGAGAGAGAAATCACTATTTCTGAAGGACCGACGTAGACCGGTGTAATTGTCAGAAGCGAGTTCGTTGCCGTGTACGACACCGGCTGACCGCGGCAGCAGTGACGCGCAGGGACGCGCGATCCTCGAAATACGGTTTTCAGAAGTAACGCTGTGCACCCTGAAAAAATGGCGCGCGCGTTGCACCGTGTCGTGTCACCTTGAGACACCAGACCAGTATCGTGGTGCGCGGAGAGCGCGCGGGTTGAACGTGCCGCGAAGAAGAGACGCACAAAAGAAACGGTTCGGAACTGGTTCGGCGAAGTCGAGCGTTCTCGGGTGCGCACGACGTACACCACGAACAATACGATTTTCTAGGAGGAAACGGTGCAGAAGAAGCCGGGATAGGAGGAGGCGGCGATGGGGAAGGAGAAGGAGGCGAAGGAGGAGAAGAGAGGACAGCGAGGAGGGTCGCGGAGCACGTGAAAGGCGATTTAAAGGGAAAAAGAAGGAGGTGGCCTTTAAAAAAAAAAAGAAGGAACATGGCGAACCGGTCGCAGCCTCCATTCGTCAGCTGGGAGCTCAGCTGCAGCCGGGCGCGGTGACCTCGACGGAGCTTCACGGAAAACCGAGTCAATTTGCAAGCAATAACGGTGTCATGCCGCGCGTCGTTTTCATCCGTGATTTAACGCGCTTTTGTATATTCCGCACGCGCCAACACACTTACGTTTGTTCATTTTTTTAACGCCACACGCACACAACGACACACCGGCGAGTTTCTTTCGAACGAGAGACCCGCCGACACTGCGAAAACGCGGTCATCGGTCGCTTTACAGGTGATCGAAAGTACCCCGACCGACTGACAGTTCAACGACATTCGTCTTTACCACTGCACGGGAAACGCGTTTCCCTTCGGAAGCGTCGTGTTAACGTTCCTATCGATATCGATCGCACCTTAGATCCGACAGATTTCGAATTCGATGAATCGTGGCATTATCCGAGTTCGATACGAACGACTCGTATCGTTCACTTACTCCAACGATCGATTCCTGTCTGTTTACCGAACCTTTCATTCATCACTCCCGGTTTTAATGTACACTTGAAAAAAATATATACCGAAACATGTATAATTCCACCATTAACATCCACCTAACAGAATGCCCATCGGAATGTCCGTGACGGTATACCGGACGACAGCTACGAATTTTTCGATTCACTGACAAGTTGTATACGAAGAACGAGATGAACTGAACGATCGAGAGAAATAAAAGGTTCTCCCGGACTGTCACGATTAAAGGTAAAAGAGGTTACAGGATAGGATCGAAGCACCTCTCGGTATCGTAAGAAAACTACGTCTATTTGAGTTAAGCAAAGCTCCCGAGGAGTTATCGCGTTGGCAAGAGGTAATTTGAACGAGAAACGAAGGCAAAGGAAAGGGATTACAGTTTTTAAAAGAAACACGGTAAACCGGTCGGTGCGTCCGTTCATCAGCTGAGAGCCCAGCTGAACCCAGCGGCCGCTGTAACCTCAACCTTTCTAATAGGCTGTATTTCATGAAAAACGATTAACCCTCGATGTCCGCGAGTACTGTATGTAGAGATAAAGCTAAAATACCTGACATTCGACTTTCATCTACGGGCGAACGACGGAACGCACGAAAACACTGGATTTTTGCAGATAAAACTTTTTGAAAGCCCACTCACAATGGAATCTTCCAGTAGACTGGCCGAGCCGGCAAGCCGTTCTCTTTTGCGTGCACACCCACCGTTTCGCGCACTGTCTCGCGTTTTACACCGTTAATCCTTCTTTCGTCAACCGTTTCGACTTTTAGAACATCGAAAGACTCCACGAAGAGGTTTAGCCGTCGTTTCGATCCGTTATAAAGTACTTATTTGCAGCAGAAACGCGGCGGTATGCATACCGCTGACAGTTCGAGCTGTCACTTTTTGACGACCGCGTATGTGCCGCCATCTGATGGCATTACCATCAAACATCACGTAGTTTGAAAGAACCGCGCTCAGATCACCTAGCAACAAGATCAATAGACTAAGTTACAGTAAGTCGAGCAGTAATCGACGTGCCTATAGCTATTCTATTAATTATTTAACAAAAGCTAAATCAGTGAACATAAAACTCTGTCTTTTTTTTTTTTTGTTTTACCGTTCTTGTCCAATACTTTCTGTCTATTACTGTCTCTTTGATTTCCGCGGTTTCAAACAGAGTTCCGCCTAATTTCAAAACTGAAGCTACATAACAAGATAAAATAACTTCACGACTATTTGATTTTTACTTCAACTTTTATTATAACAATCTCGTTCTGCTAGTACAAAAAACCGGACGACCACACGGAACAAAATTACATTCACACATACCACGCTTCATTGTTTTGTACGCCTCTATATTGTATAACTTTCGCAACGGTTTAACGTCGAGTTATATAATACCTCCGATAAAAATTATCGAATTCTAAAACTTCATAAAAGGCTAAATGTCGATCAGTACGACAATATATTTGAAATTTTCAGCTAGTACTAGTTTAATCTTTTCTGCAGCCTTCGTGCAATTGCAGCAGTAAGTGCAGCACCTTTTCCACTTCCATCTTCGGCATGAATCATCTTAAACTGTACAATTGGATTACTCGATTAATTAATCTCGTAAAAGAAACGTAAAAGAACCAAAAACATTTGTAAACGCATACTTTATGATCAGGAGCTAACAATGAAATATACTGTTTCATCCATATTTCTAGTCGAGGATGATGCTTGTAGAGAGATCCATCTACAGCAATTGTGACGTGATCCTTGTCTATTCGTTTTAACAAAACTGCTAAACCTAAACCAATTAATTTAATTAACGATATAATATTACTTATTTACCAACTAATTTTTCCATCCAAGAACTTACATGACGAAACAAGAAGGGCCGCACGATTAGACAGTAATTCACAAACATACTGTACAACTTTAACATCCTCTTCGTCCGGAACGATACCGAATTTCATTAGAATTTCTTTCGTATTCCTATCACCACCGTCCACAGAGTCTCTAGATTTCAATATTTATCGATATTAAAAGTTCTAACAAGAAAAATATGTTATAATGGTCGTCTAATTGCTAGCATACCGCTCAATATCAGATACTAAATCACTGGTGAGATTGCCCGGAACTAAAAGAGATCCAGTTGTATGGTCCTCTGTGAATAGAAGACCTTCTTTGGTTAATTTTGCGAGCACCACTCGCACTATCTCACCCAGGTATTCTCCACTAATATATTTCTCGAACCTGATAATTTGAAAAATTACGATTCAATAAATTTATCAACAGAAAAAATTTTTACTTTTCGCATTTAGGAGAATTGATACTCACGTAAATGAATTTACCATAAGCGAATTCGCATCGTTTTCGCGATCATAATCTGTCTTTATGAAATCTAGAACACCGTTATCTCCAAATGCACCCCACTCGATATCGATAATGACCTTCAATAATAGAGAACAACTGTATAGCTAGGAATCAATATTTGTTCTATATCAAAACAAATCATGAAAAGACAATCACTTCACGTTCTCCGTGTCTCTCAGTCTCCCAGTGCTTGACTCTGTCAGCTCGTTCAAGATAACAAGCGTTGCTACCAGTGCCTAATATAAGTCCAATTGCAGTATCCGGGTCTAAGGTTGATCCTTGCATCAATGTTCCTGTGGTATCGTTCAAAATTGCTACGATTTTCACCTTTATGTCTCCTCGACGATCCAAAGCTTCACGAAGCAGTCTAACGACATCCTTGTTGACAACGTCGGGACAATTGAATGTTTTAGTCCAAGTCACTAATATCCCAGTATCCAGCGAATGTTGAATCATCGGGAAGGAGAAGGTAAATCCTAAAAGATAAGGAATTCCATTTAACCACGTCGTCTGTTTTAAGAAATATCACGTTTGAGATCAAGATAATCTTCCTTTAATCAACGACGAGTATCGACCACTTGAATTCGCAAAATCAATGTAAAACATAATACTTGAAAGATAACACTACAGAGTGCTTGAAAACATGAGATTGTCATGCTCAAATAGAATTTTTGAAGCAATTACTATTATTCCAGAATCATCGGTAATTATCTGTGGGAAACCACAGAGCACAGACTTGGCAATTAAAAGTCTCACACGTGATTCTCTCGACGCCTCAAACGTTATGTACATTGATTCCAATTTACCAAGGGGAAGCTCTACATCCTGAAGACCTTGTGCAATGACGAAATCGCTGACGCATTCTGCTATATAATCAAACAGATGAATCCCTGAGCCTACTCTCAAAGCAAAGCTAATGTGGTATTTCTTCACTTCTTCGCGTATAGGTGTGCCATGGGCCAGTTCCAAAAGAATCAATCGGAAATTTGTGCCTCCCAAATCCAACGCCAAATATAAGCCTTCTTCTAAAAATTACACAGAAATAGATTCCTTAGCACTATATAAAAATAACTACTACAATTTTTCAGCATGTATACGTTACATTTAATATCTTTAGAGACGTCACACGATTGCAACGACTTTTATCAGTCACATATCGCGGTGTAATACTTATCACTAATGGTATTGTAAAAGTAACTGTTTTAACAACCTGTTCCATCGAGAAGTTCCGGCACGTAAGTGTTCTCCATCTGCAGCGACGATGGCTGTTGATGAATTCCTCTATTCATTTCCGAGATGAAAACATCCTGTATCTTCCTTATAGTAGAGGCCGAAAATTGTAGTTGTGCCAATTTCTGCTGGATCTACAAATAACATACATTGAACTATATCATCGTATCATACATGTGATAGTAAATATAAGCATCTGATCGAGACAATGTGGTCGGAAAATTTTCCACCAGTCATAAATCTTAATAATCCTCTGACAAACGTTAAAAGGAATTTTCGTGTCTGTTATACTCTCTGTTACGTGATCTCCAATGGCATTCTAATAAACAAACCAGAGGCGGATACCGCGATCACGCTAGATCGCTGATCGCGATAAAAAAAAAAAGATTAAATTCGCGACAATAGATAACTAGCCAAAGGAATTTCTAATCGAACATTACGATCTCTTGCACGTCCGACAAAACATTTTTTTATGTTCGAGTTTATGTAAGAAAGGTGACGACGAATAAGCATACTATATGAATCGTTTCTATGACTCTTTTTTTCTCTTCCTGTTCTCAGTGACTTCCCGACTATTTTTCTATCTAGTTTGGAGTTCGACGTACGTACTACGCAAGTCCAACGTCGAAAACAGAATTTTTACGATCAGGATAATACTAATATTTCACTTCCTCGAAGGTAAACCGGTTGCATTCACGCAAACATCACCGCTAAAGCGAAACGTAAAAATTCTGGAAATCGATATTAAATCGGCGGGTGAAAGACAAGACAAAATATGCCGATCGCGTAATACCATCTTGTTACACGAAGTAAGCTCGTCGCTATGAGAAGAAAAAATAGCCGGCAACTATTTTGTTCTTGCACGTAAACAGTCTCCGACGTTGCACGCGACAAAAGGTATTAAGCTACATGACAGTTTAAGTGGAAAGAAATTTATTGCTTGTTTCATGGATTGAATTGTCAGTGCAAGAGCCGACGATAGCAATAGATGAAATTATTGCCGTGTCCTGTTCTCGTGACGCTTATCTGTTCTGTATCGATTCGAAAAGATCAGGAAAAGAACCCAAGTCGGCAGTCGAGGTGAAACGAGGGTAAACAGAAATTGACGGTGACATTGTGCGGTCTACTTTAATCAAATGCAAAAAGAGCGTGTGGGTGACTTGCCTCTGTATCTATCAGTGTAACATTCTCTGCGCGAACATTCGTCGTACGTACACATGCGTTATTTGCATTATCGATTGTCACGAAATCCCATTGAAACGAGGAAAGAATGAAAACTTCGATACTTTTAAGCTGGCAATTAATTGTTAAAGCGAAACAATGAGGCCATTAATTATTCGTTTACCATTTGCTCTATCGCCACGCGAAACGGCATATCTTCGTCGATAACTTATTTGAAAATCGTGAACTTTCAGTTAATAAAAATTGCTCACGATAAACTTATGGCAGAGACTACGATAAGCGCATGATTTACGACTGGCTTGCGACTAAACGCGTGACAACCCGTCGAATTCAGTTTTATCGAAACTGCTCGTACGTCTAGTTCTATTGTTTATAAGGAAAAGTACTGCTTTCCCTTCCCGCCTTTGAATTTTTATCAGGCTTCGCGGAAGGAAGATACCCTTGAATTCTCATTGAGATACAGCATAGATATCACGGCGAATTAAACGATTTCTATACAAACGACGAACGGCTTACGTAACTAATTGTACATGTTCAAGAAAGGTGCATATACCAGACAGAATAAATTGCACTTGGTAAGCATTGCTACAGAGATCAGCGTGAGCAAAAGTGAAAGTATGTGTACAGGATCGATCCGTGTCAGTAAACTCTTAACGAGAATGTCGCTAGGTTAAAGACTCGGTGTTCGCCATTTCTCGCATCGGGAATGATTCAATCTGGTTGACATTGATCGGTCGGATATCGATCAATTATACAGAAAGCGAACAGACCTAGCAGGGAAAAAAAATATGTATAATGCTTGGATATTATTTAGCTCTCCGATGACGTTCCGCTCGACAAATTCTTGGAATGGTTACGCGATCAAATAACATTTGTAAGCAATAACCGTGGTAAGTGTTTGAATCATTTTCTATAACTTGGCGTTACTTCGTTCAGCGTCATTCTTATGATCGCGCGCGCGATTATGATGGGTCTCCCAAGTTTCCCCTCTTTCTCACAAAGTTCACTTGGCCAAGAGAAGAATCGCTTAAATAACCACGCGGAATGTCGTATTGGATGTCAAAACAACTAGTATAAACGTTTCGTCTTCGCTTACCTTCCGTTGTCTTATGCCATCCGAAAGTACCAACGGTAGTACCTGTATAGCCTCATTAACAGCATGTTCCGTGGGTACGGCCATGTCTGGAAGATCTTCTTTCTCTAAAAAATAAGAAAAATCGTGATACGATATAGCACTGTAGAACCACGGTACTCGTGTGACTAGGATAGTGAAACACGAGAAAAATAATATAACGCGGAAGTTCAATGATCCAACGATACGTTGCAACGATGTGTAATGACACATAACGAGCGTTTTAAGGTTCACGGGCAACAGCTCCGTTGGAAAACTCACACGCGCGAAAATCCCATAATTACCTGATTATCGCGAACGTTATCCTCGGATAGAAGTTTTTTGAATGAAAGAAGTCACGCTGCGAGACAAACGTGAATGAATTTTTCTGGACGTATGATAAGGTGTACGCGACAAGACGAACCGTCGCGTGGTTCTCCACGAGCACGAGAGACGTTCTGAGAAAGAATTAAAGAGATCACCCCGTTTATTATTACTCGCGTATTTATTTTCCCTCCTTCCGCCCTGTCCCTCGACATTCGTTCACAATTGATAACAACACAGACTCAGTATTAAACGAAAAGTTGAAAGTCCACAATATTTTATAACGTTTGATAAGATCACGTAAACAAGTCACATGAATTATAATATCGTCCCGCCTTCAAAAACTGGTAACCCAATGTTCGCCCCTTGCCTCGTATCGGCCTACCGTATAATACACCTAATGATTTACATCGTACGATTGCATTGCTTAGATTAATTAACACGTTGACTACTGCGCGTAATTTGCTGGATTTGCTTACAGTGCTGTGGAGAAATGGCATCTTAGAATCGTATCTTGATAATATATTACACTATATGATGACGCCATGAAAACAAAATTATCGATACGTATATGTTGTACGTGATCTCATTGCTATTAACCCATTCTGATATTAATTACATTTATAAAACTGCAAACGTGCCTGTTTCCGCGTTTTGCACATTTTTATTGACACGATTGTGCTAATCATGGTGTCTGTCGGCCATCTATGACTCACGACCACCATGGTAATCAACGTGTTAATGATGGCTGCAGTGATAACAAATAACACGTGAACATTACATTCGATGAATTTTGTCATTGCGAAGACAATGGCAGGTGCATCTGAAAAAAAAGTTAACGAGCAATCATACAGTGTGCACGGTCGATAATGTCGATCTAAAAAACAAAGCGGTTGCTACCGCAAAGAAAACACCGTTAGTTAAGCTTACGAGAGGGCAGGGTCACTAGACCGATATCATTGCCAGACGCTAGTTGCTCCATAGGCCATCAAACATCGTAACATTATCTCAATGTTGATTGATAAAGAGGAAATATACGGGTACTTGTGACTCGTATGTACATTCTTTCTGACAATTTCATGATACGCCGTGAATTCATGGCCAAAACATTTTGCACGTGTCACTCTTCTTACAGATGATATCAACCGAATGAACTGTCGAAAAGATAATGAAGAATCATGTGAACTTACAGCATGTTGCAATACCAACGGACAAATGACATTGGTCACATAATTCGAAGAAATTCCATCAACGAGAAGAAATCTTTTGTGTTCACCGTTCACTAATTCATCCCTGTCAATATTCTGATATTCCGATTTCTCCGGCACGGTGAAGGAGAAGTATGACATAACCACTGGTCGCAATTTTTGGATAAAATTCTCCATGCTTTACTTTTCGTGTGCTACGTTTATTTGGTGCAACATGTCGCGTCGTCAGCATACAATAAATACACGCGCATATGAAGTACGCACTGCGCATGCGCAGCCTGTATTGCAAGTACAGTCTTGTGCATAAATTGATCGTTTCGATCAATCGAATTGTTCGTTGAACTTGCTACATGAAACGATTAATTCGATTTAAAAATCTCAACCGTAGAATTATGTAAACATCGAAATATATTGGAGATATTCTCTATAAATAAGACATTCGATGCACTAAAAAAATCAAGATCGAATTCCAGTTTCAGTAGCAATACTAAGGACGTGAAAAAAGTCGAAGAACCCGTTTGGCAAGTAAGATTCGCCGAGCTACGTGTCACGTCTCTAACATACCACTGATGTGTATTATTTTTTTATCTTTCTACTTATTCTCTTTAATTTATCTCTGCATCTATTTCACCTCTATATTTTCTTGTCAATATTTCCAATGTTAAGCATAATTATTTGCAGATAAGAAAAAATGAAACGTGGGAAAACGGGGTGAAGGGAAAGCATATGTTAATTTACAAATGAACAGCCAACAGCCTAATTTAAATATCAGAACTCGCGTTCTAACCGCATAAACGCAAACTCGATTATTACGCCCGTCCTTTCGAGCCTTGATGATAGACGAATTGGTTCGTTTGATCGATGATCGTTTAAGTCTGCTTATTCACGATAGGTTTTTCAATCGCCGGAGGGGGAGAGAAGACGTCGCGAAATAACTACTAGAATATTCTTCAAGTCAGCAAAGTTGCTTCGAACGAAGCTCTATTAAAATCAATTGGATAATTTAGCCACTAGCCAAAGCGACAAAAGGATAATTTAGTCATTTGACCTGACGTGATGATTCTAGTCCATAGTGCAATATGCACACTGGTTACAGAATCATGTTGACCGTCACATTTCAAACGACACCTTCGAACGATGGTATCACGCATATGAACATATCTTATGATTACCTATCGCGATTTATGATCTGTCTTGTGTTATTTTTTATCCATCGTTTCACTATCGGTCTATCGGATTAACGAATGTGACGTAAGTAGAATGTCACGAAGGTTCGACATATGAATTGCGTGCACAACAATCGTAAAGCGTAGTGTTTGTGTAATCAATTTCCTGTAATACTAACACAATGAGCTGCTTTTGACCGAACGCTCTCTGTACATGATAACGGACTACCCTTTCGGTTATGTATGATCTTTACCGCTTGAATTATAGAGCTTCCGTGAATTATGTATCCATTATCACCAAGGTATCGAATAAATCTTAATCGAATAAAATTCCCTCGAGAATTCAGTAGTTCGTCTTTCATTTCGAAACATTGAGACTTATTACCTAGTAACTTAAACAGCATATCGATTGGTGAATCTAAATCACGAAATTTTTTCTCCATTATTAAAGGATAAAATCATTACCTATTTTAACGATACCGTATCGGAGTAAGACACAACTAACCCAGATAACATAATTAACGTAATTCAAATTTTGTAATTACGCGACAAATTTGCAACGGTATCATAAGTCCATGCGATTAATGGGTTATTTTTAAAGACATTTTTGTAGGTACAGATGAGGTTAGTAGAGTGCAACACGTTGGTAGACACGTGTTCCTTGAGATAGCTGTCAATCTTCTCTGTTGATTCCTCAAGTTTCATGTGCATGTGAAGTTTGATGCACTGTGCATACATGTGCAAGGAAAATGAAACAGTGCTACATAATACATGTACAATAATACGGCGAAAGATAAAACACATGATTTTAATTCCTAAGGCATCAAAGATGATGTAATCGACTCGTTGTTACGCGATAAATTTATATTCCTCTCAGCATGCCATTTCGCAAAATTAATTTTCGCGATAACAATCGAACTAGACGATAAAACGTTCATCGAAAATAGGTAATATTTGACGAATGTAACGTGGTACGATACATTATTTGACATCGTGAGTATCGAGGTATAATCGAAACAAAAAAAAAAAAGTGTGGCATGAATATATAAGAAACATGACGATAATAATTTCTGAATGTTAGTAAACACTAGAATACGCGTCTTTACGCGTAAATTATTTCCCATTGCGACAATGACATGAACGTTTGAAACCGGTTACAGAAATAATAGATCTACCATCAATCGACTCGAAAGCGATACATGGTATTATGATGACACCGAAGCTGTTTGAACAAATCAAACATACTCTCTCATTGTCAAAGATCAATGTGCCCGATGCCGCCAACTAGCGCGTGCGCCTTGTTCTAGGAAAATCAGAAACGCAAGCTCACCTTAACACTTTCTACGTACGACTGCCGACTCCCGCGATCGCTCCAGCTTCTGATCCTTTCCTATCCTTTTCTGGATCCAGTTATCGGTCAATGACTGTAAATTTCTCGGAACAAGCACGTGAGTGGGATACCGCGAAATATACTCCGTCTCCAAACAGCAACTGGTCGAGCCTCCAGATCCTCGCTTACCCCACTGCTCGAACTTTAAAACCATATCGGTGCGTATTACGTGCGCGCGTCTTTGTGTTCGTACACGTGCTTACATGTTCACGCACGCGACTCACTACATGTGAATTACACTTTTGTATTTTCGCAAACAGGCTGCTGATAGTCCGTGATGTATCGCGTGAATGCATACACGCATGTTCTAGAATATCGCGTGCATCGATACCACGTGATATTGTAGTCGCGATTCAAACCGCATAACACGAGCATATAAGTAGGGATTTCTCAAGCGTATAGTCGCACTGATAGCTTTTTTCTCTGATCTCTTCTCTGCTTTCAGATAAAAATTTGTTCAAACATACACTTGTCGGAAAAGGATGAAAAAAGTCATGGCTACATAAAAAATAAGTATATATATGTATAACTATTATGCAATAAAGAGTTGTGCAATATAAATTTGGTTAAATGTATGGAAGTTCTGAACGACACGTTTCGAATATCTTTGCAAATTTACATTATGTCAGTTGAATAGAGTTTGAATATAGCAGTAATAAAATAACGTTCGTCTCCTAAACTACATAGGCTGAATAGAGTTTGATTAACCCTTTGCGATCGAGTGTCGGCAAATAGCCTCCCAAGTCTTTTTACCGTTGCGGACGAGTGTCGGCAAGTAGCTGCCCAATTCTGTTTAGAGCTGTTTAGAGACGTATTATGAAGCAGCTCGCGTACATTTGCCTTTCTGAGTGATAAAATACGCATGGTATACTAAACAAATAAATAATGAGAAAATCAAAAGAAATACAATACAAAAAAATTAATGCATTTGCAATTTGTACGTCGCTTGGTGGATCAATTAGTTGATTTTCGTTACGCTAATCCCAAAACTCCTTCAATTTCTGGAACTGTAGAAAGACTGAACGGCCTTTTACATATTATTCGATGAGATGACACAGGAAGGAGTAAAGACTGTCTGGTATGTTCCAATCGGAAAATCAAAGATGGAAGAAGAGAATCAAAGTATTATTGTACTACTTGTTCAGCTAAACGGTGATAATAGGTGATTGCTTCGAACGATACAATACCATGCACAAATATAAAACGTGTCATAAACATAACATAACTAAATGTTTTTCTTGGATTTTATTAAAAAGTTTTAATGTATATTTTCTCTATTACGCGCGTCAATACCTCTAGTTCACAGTGACGCTCGCTTGTCGGGCTGCTCCGACCGCAAAGGGTTAAATTGTTCAGTGTGTTTAAATTTAGATCGTTACAATTGACCGACCCTCATGGTTTCATAATGTATAGCACCATCCTATAGACAACCAACTTGCACTTTGGAATGATAACTAAAAAAAAACATAATTTTATATCAAAACTTGATTTTGAAACGTGTAGGGACCAAGTTAATAGCTGAATTTCTAAATTCATGTTTACGACATTAAAAGAGTAGGTAAACACGTGCGTGAGATTTTTAATACCAGTTTAATCATTGATCTCGAACGTGATTAACTCAAATGAAGAAATATGTAAACTTATATTTCTATTTTTATTTATTTCTTGTATAATTTAATTGCCACAAAAATTAAAACACGTGCAATGTTCTACGTTATACTTGATTTTTGACAAATTTCCACTCTAATTTAACTGGTGTTTACGTTTGTCAAAATAGTAAGATAAATTATAAAAGTAATAAATGTAAAGATTCACATTATTCTGGTAACAGATCATCACCGAGTTCTTCATCACCAAAATCATCGTCTCTCTTTCCGGCAGACGTCATAGGACGAATAGGTAATGGACCAATGGGATCAACATAAGGAGTGCCTATAGAAAGTATTTTATACGCACTTATAATTTAACATTATTTTGTGTAATATTTCATTAAAAATTATTTTAAAATTTGATAGTAAACTACAGATTACTTATACAAGACAAGAAGGAATCATTGCTATATAGAAAGTACAAGAATAGATTGTTCAAAATAGGTAGACTCATCTATCATCTAGTCAATCCATTAGGGTAGTTCAACTATCATCTGTAGATCATTCTTATTAATGTTCATTTCAAATAAAGCTACGTATTTCTGAGACTTTAATAGCTTTAGTAAATGCTCAGTTTGACACACACACACACACACACATACACCAATAACAAAATTTGTTATTTTATTATAATGTCTCCTATTATAAATACTACCTACCTGTTTGCTCAGTCATATCAGATGCCACTTCCATAATATTTTCTGTTGCGGAAACTCGATTGGTCCGTGTAATACCGGCACTACTTAAACCTTGATTTTCTCTTCTATTAAAGGTAGGACTTGACCTACGATCCGATAGTACACTCATTCCAGAACCAGTTCGTGACGATGTCCCACTATTACTTCTTCTCGAACCTGCACATAAATATTAAATATTAGCGCAATGTTATGCTTTATGTATCAAAAAATATACAACATGCGCACCTGGTCTTGCCGATCCTTGTCTATCTTTCAATTCTTTCGCTTTCTCTGCACGCTTTAATTCTGCTGCGTATACGTGCGCTTCTTTTAACCCAAGATCGCTACATAAACGAACCAAAAATTTTAGACATTCAACATTTTCGGGAAACTTGTTATGAATGTCTTGATACTCTAAAACAGCTTTATGAAATTGACCAATTCGCCTTAAACAGGCAGCTACTAGTAATCGCCATCTTGGTTCCTCTGGAGCAAGTTCTACTGCTTTCTTAAAATAAATTAATGCTTTTTCGGCAATTTGCATCGAGACAAAATATGATCCGAGCCAATCGATTACTTCAAAATTGGCAGGAAAAAATCTATAAGACTATATAAAGGCAAATTTTAATATTATTATACAATAAAATGAAATAAAACAAATGTACAACATAGAAATTTACATCACTATAGAACTGATATGCTTGTTGTTTATCTCCAGCAGCATCATGCATTTCACCTACTTTTTGCAAAACTCCAGGATCACATGGTATTATACCAAGTAATTGATTGTACCTAACATAAATTTATAGAATAATCATTCATATTGAAATCAATTATATTTAAAATACATATAAGAAATATTCATAATACCATTCTGCTGCTTGATCTATATCATTCATAAGTTGATATAACTGAGCAATTTGATATAATATTTGTGGATCATGTCTAACGATATTACGAACTTTCCAAAAGCATTCTAATGATTCTTCATACATATCTTGTTTTTTATATACTAATCCTATTAAATGAGATTTTATAAGAAATTTGAAGTTTACATTTTCATGTTAATAATATTACCCAAATTATACAGAGCTTGTACATGACTAGCATCCGCATCTAATGCACATAAAAGAAGTTCTTTAGCAATATTTAATTCACCCTTTCTGATTGCACATGCTGATAAATTAACATAAGCAGCTGCATTATAACTATCTGCATTTCGAGCAATTTCTCCACATTTTTCTGCTTGATCATAATCCCCTTGCTAAAAATATTAAAATTATTATATTTTCAATGTTTTATTCTTAATTAGTGAAAATAAGTATTATTTCTTACAAGAAAATAAATAAATGAAAGCATAGTCGCAGCTGAACTGTTTGCTTTACTTTCACGATTTTCAAACATCTTCAAGGTATCAATAGCCAGTTGAGTTTCCCGATTATGCAAAAATACCATAGCTTTACTTATTTCCAAATCAGCAGCTAATGGACCATACACCGAAGACTTTATAGTATCCACACACCTTTAAAAAATTCGTTTGGAATTAAAAAATAAAAGATGTTATTTCAATGTAATGTATTTAATAGGCTTCAAATTTTACCAAGCGAAACCAGCAGTAAGTGTATCTTCAATTACAGGTGCTATAAGTTTTGCAGCACAAAGAATAGTTCTTTCTGCCTCCGATTTTAATTCCTTTTCTAACTTAGATAAATCATCGTTTTTTAAAATTTCATTCAATATGTTAAAAGCAACATCATCCTACAAAACAAAATAGCAAAGTTAAAAAAAATTAAAATAAATATTTTATTGAAAGTCAGTGATGTACATTTACACTGTGCTCAATGGGTACAATATCAATAATAAATATAATTATTATACAACAGTGTTAGTGCATAAAATCATAAGCTTTTTCTAAATATATATTTCCCAATATTATTTAAAGCTAGAATGAGTAGTTATATAGCTATTGAGTGTGGGCAATATTCAAAAAAGCACTTTATATAGTGATATTTATAAACATGCCCAACTCACTGTACTTATATTATATCTGTCCTCCTGATCTATGTTAAGCTGAACTTCTAATAATTCTAAAAATGACCTTTTCATTTTATCCCTATGAGATAATGCAAAATGACATAAAACAGCATGCAAGCCTGCTTTAAATTCAGCTCTTTCTTTCATGACCCATTCAAAACTATTAGCTGCTTCTTCCAAACGACCCATTTGTACAAATAGCATTCCAATGTTATGCATTATTTTTATTCTGCGAATTATGTACTAAATTAATATTAATATAAATAACAATCATAAAAATACAGTATCTCAACAACTTCTTATTGCAACACATCATTTTATTACCTTAAATCTTTATGAGCTGCTGGTGCTTGATCAAATGCCATTCTATACATTTTAATTGCTTGAGACAATTGTCCCATTTTAACATATATATTTCCCATGTTTACTTTTAATCTAGCACTATTAGTGAACATTCTATTTCTTGTTATAGCTTGATAAGTTGCTATAGCTTCAGTAGACATATTGTTGTTAGTGTATTGAATTGCCAAATTAAAAATGACCTGAAAAATATAACACGTATAAAACATGTGTAATCTCAAGTATATGTTACAAAATACAATTAAAAGACAAAACTTAATTCTTACTGCAAATGTTAAATCTACATTATGATTATCACTAAGCCCAGCTTGTTCTTGTAATCTAATAAGAGCTCTTTCTCTTGAAGAAGCTTCTCTAGCTCTCTCTAAAGCAACTCTTGTGTTATTTTCATATGCTGCTTCTATTGAACTTTCTATTAATTCCATAATTTTTCTTTCAGCAATTTTTATTTTTTCTTCAGGCCTTTATGAATAAATATTAAAATATATTGTTTTTTTAAATTTTGTTACAAATAAATTTAATTTAATTTTCAATTGTTGTGATTTTACGTGTCTTCCTTTCCACTTTCTAAAGGTGGTGCAGGTCCTTTGGTAGAACTACTCATATTTAAAGGATCAAATGTTTGACGATTACTACTAGTATAACCTGCTCCTCTAACAGCAGTCATTGGTCTAACCCCACTAGTAGTAGGTCTCATAGGTACACCGGTACCACTTCTATGAAACTAAAAACATTGAATTCACATATTATCAAAATATAATAAAATACTGATGAAATATAAATAAAATAGAATATAACATAATGCTTTTACTTACTCCAGTTGAAGTACCCAAACGCATAGCACTTCCTGGAATTTTTGGTGTGAACTGTATAATTAAAATTATTTTTATTAATTAAATCTAACTATGTGGTTATATTATACATATATTTATTACTACTTACAATTGATCTTTTTGTATAACTTGTATTGAGTGTTTCTTGAAACAATTCATCTTGTTCAAAGTCTTTAATGCTGTATATTGATGGATAATCATTATATCCATCATAAATATCGTCATCAACATGTATATTAGTCATTGCTAATATTTTCATAAACTATCCTTTTTCTTTATAAAAGAAATCTACATATAAAATATTTATTAAAGTATATTTTGGACAAAATAACTGAATAACTTTTATAACTTCTATGGTAACTTTAATATTTAATACTACTTTTTCCCAATTTTTTTCATACAAAAATCATTTTTAAGAACGTACAACAAATGTCATAAGAGAGATTAATTGATTCATGTGCTAAACCATAAACAAACCTTATCTAGTTATATCTATATGTGAAGTATTAATGAATTTAGTTGCTTTTATAATATTATAAAGTATATTTTATGATAAATGATTAATTAAATAACAAGTTTTATAATTATCAATATAATTATCAATAGATATTAGATTATACAGTTATTTGGAAATAAAAATATACTAAACTGCATTTACATTCAGTTGCATTCTGCAGCAGAATCTAACATTTATTGGTTGGCAATGTAGGCCTTCGTCCACTTTTTGGTCGACAGATCTATAAAACCATGAAGTTTTATATAAGCTTCACGTAAAAACGATATTTTAACAATAAATAACATTTTTTACAAGCTTTCTCTTCCAATATAGTTAAATTATAAATATTTATTCTAATAACTTTTCGTTTTCAATTTGACATTACATTCTAATTTTGTTTCCAAAAAGGCGGGGTTATTTTATGTAGAAGTGCCTAATAACCTGTTTCGTCCATATAATAATGTTGATAAATAGTCGAATTTGACATGTGTTACGTGATAATAAATAAGTTTCAATTCTTGAAATCATGTGGAAACATTTTAATCGTTGATTCAAATACAATACAGTTCAAGGCTGTATCTGTAATGTGATTTCGAAAAGTAATTTAAAGCAATTTTAAGAAAATGACAACTGAGCAAAGTGGACACGATCATTCCCTTGCAATTAGACAAGAAATACAACGTTTTGAAAGTGTTCATCCATCAATTTATGCTATTTATGACTTAATAGATCTTATATCTGATACACACATGGCAAAACAAATCCGTGAACATGTTGTTGCAATTGAAGGTATGATACATATTACTTTAAAAAAGTAATATGTGTGTATATATATATATTTCGTAATATTTTTAAATAGCCTTTTACATACAAAGATAAATATTTGAAATATTGTTTTTAAATTTATGAGACAAAATCTTTTGTTAATAGATTCCTTTGTCAATAGTCACGAATGGACATTAGCTAGAGATGTTCCAGAATTACATTTAGGAATTATTGGTTCATCTGACTCAGGAAAATCTGCTTTAGTTCATAGATATTTAACTGGTTCATTTATGCATGAAGAATCTCCAGAAGGTGGTCGCTTTAAAAAGGAAGTCTTTATCAATGATCAAAGTTATCTCTTGCTAATTAGAGATGAGGGTGGAGTACCAGAATCACAAGTATACAAAATATATATACTATATAAATACACATATATTTATATGTACATATGTTAGGAAACATATTATACAGATCATTGTCATAATATTCTTTACTTTATGATATTTAACACATATATCATTTATTCCAGTTTTCTGCTTGGATAGATGCTTTATTACTTGTATTTAGTTTAGAGAGTGAAGAAAGTTTCTCAATAGTTTGCAGTTTTTATAACAGAATGTGTTCATTTCGAAATATGTCAGAAGTACCAAAAATACTAGTAGGAGTTCAAGGTAATATCTATATATTTCATTTATGCTTATGTTTATAATAAAATTTCTTACATGTTATATAATATATTAATACATTTGGTATTACATTATATTTATTACAATGTATAGATTCAATTAATGATTCTAATCCCCGAGTTATAAAAGATGTTAGACCACGAAAATTGGCATGCGATTTGAGGTGCCCTTATTATGAAACATGTGCTATTTATGGATTGAATGTTGAAAGGGTATTTCAAGATGGTAAATAATTTAAAACAATATTATCTAAATATTTGATAATTTTTAATTTCACTAAAAAATGTTTTATAATATTATAACATAATTTGTATATACTGAGTTCCGAGTATAAGTATCATTTATTTTTATTATACTCTTTTTAAATTATTATTAATAATATATTTATGACTTTGATAAATATTCTGAAAATATCATGCATATTATAGTGTGTCAAAAGATTATTCAACATATATCTGCAAAACATTATCGATGTAATGGACAGCAAGCAATAGACAATGAAACAAAATATCCTGTTGCAATGATTGCCAAAAGTACACAACTTCTAAATAAAGAAATAGAAGCAACAAATTCGTCAAAATTAAATGTGAGTTATTATCTTCATCTAATATGTTAAATTAAAAGGTGTATGCGTAATATTTTATATTTGTGCAGACATCTGATAAAGATGAAGATTCTAGATCATTTCATAATAGTTCTACTCAAAATGATTCTGGAACAATGAGTGATAATTTTCATAATGCACAGAATCAACATGGAGATTTTAGATCCTCAATTTTAACACCAACTACTATCAGGTTTAACTTTTATAAAAATATTTCATTCTTTTAGCTTAGAAGAAAAGAACTTCTATTTTTATTTACATTTCATCTACCTTTCTATTTTTATGATACAGGAAATTTAGAAGAAAGTCTAACATATTTACTCCATCAAAAAAGGAAAAATATAATATGGGTGAAATGGGTGTTGGTAGGGAAATACCTGTAAAACAAGGTTATTTATTTAAACGCAGTAGTAAGTCCTTAAAAGAATGGAAAAAAAAATATGTTACATTATTGGAAGATGGTCGTTTAACTTATCATTCCAGTTTACATGTAATTGAACATAATTTTTTTATAATATGGTGACTTATGTATTATTTAAAAGATGTATGTATATTTATTCACACATATTTCAGGATTATATGAATGATACTAATGGTAAAGAAATATTGCTACAATATGTAACTGTAAAAGTGCCTGGAAAAACGCCTAAAGGTTCTAAATCATCTAATGCTCAAGGTATTTTATTAAAATTTAAATTTAAACTACCATACATTTTATTCCTTAAATTCTAAACAGATTAATTATATTTTGTATATATCTTAATTTTCAGAAGATAGTTTTGAATTTTCTATAATTTCCTTAGAAAATAAGACATGGCATTTTGAAGCAAATAATGCTGAAGACAGAGATAGTTGGATTTCTGCTATAGAACAACAGATATTATCAAGTTTGCAAAATAGTGATGGTGACAAAAAAAACGAAACTGATGCTTTTAAAATGCATTGTATAAAGAACAAAGTGTCAGGAAATGATGCTTGTGTAGATTGTGGAGCACCTAGTAAATAGCTTCTAAATTTATTTGAACAATATTTTTGATTTTATCTTTGATACAGTTCTTATAAAAATTTTCAATTGTAATGAAATTTTAGATCCAGACTGGGCTAGTTTAAACCTAGGTGTATTAATGTGCATTGAATGCTCAGGAATACATAGAAATTTAGGTTCACACATATCAAAAGTTAGATCCTTGGACTTGGATGATTGGTCGTAAGTGCGATAGCTACTTGTTTTATCATATAAAATCTTGTTATCTATGTAATAATAAATATAGTAAAAAATAATAATTTACCAATAAATGATTTGTTTTTAAACATCTGATTGTATAAGTCTATGTTATTAGTATTACGTATTAACAATGTGCATATATGCAGCAGCATAAAATAGCCTTGACATTAATTTTAGCGCAGGTCAGTTAAGTGTAATGTTAGCCCTTGGTAATGATATAGCAAATAGTGTTTGGGAATACTGTCTAAATGGAAAACAGAAACCAAATTCAGATTCTCCTAGAGAAGAGAAGGAACAATGGATCAGATGGAAATACGAAGACAAAATCTTTCTGCCGCCTATTAATCCGAATATTTCTTTAGGGAAACTTCTTATTGACTCAGTTTGCCGGTAAATATTCTTAGATTTCGGATGAGATATATTATTATAAATAATTGTTAGATGACTTATTGTGTTAAATATAATGTAGGGGTGATATGAGAGCATTTACATTATGCTTAGCTAGATGTAGTTACGAAGATATTAATATGCCAGTCAGTATGGAAGATTTAAGAACACCTCTGCACTTGGCTTGTGCTACAGGGAATTTAGCTATGGCACAACTTTTAATATGGGTATGTATTTACCCTCGATTGATTATGGTATATAAATATAATAAAAATTAAGTTATATATTATTGAATAATTACAGCATAAAGCAAATCCACAAAATTTAGATCATGAAGGACGTACTTGTATGTCATATGTACGAGCACTTGAAAGAACACTTGACAATTCATCGGATTCTATGGAAATGCAGAAGCTTCTTGAAGTACTTGAACAAGCTAGTGTTTCTGGAGTAGATGATGTAGAAACTTCTCAGTATTAAAGTTACGTTATGTGTTTACATTATGTACTTATTGCATGCAAGGCCATGCTTTAATTAATGGCTTAGAGTTGATATAACTTTTATTATTAACAGTACTGATACTCAGAAAGACAACCAAAGTATGTTAAATGGGTTCAAAGTATAAAACGGTCTATTTCTACAAAATAGATGATTTACAATGTATGTAACAGTATATATCCTTTTTAATGCTGGCTATAAAGTTCATAAGAAGTTTGACCAGATATTTTAACGAATATAACATACTTTGCATATATATTTGTACATTGAAAAGTAGTTTGAATTAAACACACACACACACATATACACATACAGAGACGCGCACGCGCGCGTACACACGTATATTTATATATATTTAACAAGGTTTAGGTCAGTGAAAGTAATGTTTAATAGTAAATTGGAGTGTACATTATCAATGACTGAGAGTACAAACACTCATAAATCTAGTTATATTTATACACTGAATACATTTAATGTATTTGAAAAATGCTTTTATAATTTTTATTTTATTAATTATGAATTAAACATATAATTACCTCGCAATATAATTGAATTACTTCTAACACCTGACCAACTAAAGTTCCGAATTTTGCGTTGTTTTTTCATTAAAATTTTTTCAAGTCATTATTTTACTTGTATTTATTAGATGAACAGGTTGCAGTTATTACATGATATCCTTCATCTAATATATTTGAATTGTCTAAAAAGAATGTTATAAAAAATTATATGCATGTAAATAACAAACTAAATATTACATTTTTAATCTACAAAATTTTTACCTAATGGATATATGCTTTTAGGAAAAATTGGTAACTGACTGTAATATTTAATTGTTGTTAATTTTGTCAATTTAGACTGAGATGAAAGTGAAATCCTTCGCATACTCGGAATTCTAAAAATAACATGTAACTACAACCACATAGAAAAATGTGTCTTATTAAAATAGTAATAAACTTACTCAGTATTTAAATTACTAATTGCTGAAACAGGAAGTGGCAGAGTTAAAGTATATATTTTGTTTTGATGTAAATCATGATCATTTTTCACAGGTGACATTTCACCAACATATTGTTTGAGAGCACAACAAAATAATGTTCTAAGATCCTCACTTGAACATCCTAAATTATTTTGTATTAAAACAATAAATTCCAAACATATATGAATTTGTACCAAATATATTAATGTTTCTCTAAAATCATACACACATGTGTATACATGTATATGTATACATTTATATACAATAATGCTATAGATTAAATATAATACAATTAAATTTCATTACACATACCTATATGTATTAACTATAAACTCATTACAAGATAAATTTTTTAATTTTTGTTGAATGTCATGTAATTCACCAAATCCTGTATTTGCTAAAATGCATATATAATCTTTGCATAACTTCTTAAAACCCATGTCTATAACATATTCTAATGGTAAACTACCAGATAATAAAGGTGAAATTATTTTTTGTTGGTGTGGATTAGTAATAATCTTGGCAAATTTTGTTGAATTTGTATGGTTGATCTAATACATAATAATTACATACTTATAAACATTTTTTAAAAATTGTGTTTAGTACAATATAAAATAGGTTCTTTCTTAAAATTTATACTGTACCTGTGGTAAACAGTTATTTATTATAATTTCTTCAAGAACTATGTGAATGCATTTTGTCATTTCAAAATAATTAGAATTCTCTGTAAATATTAATATTATTTTATACATAAGCAAACAAATATACTTAAAAAATAATATATACTTACGTATCAATAATTCCCATAAAAAATCTGTAAAATCTAAATTGTGTCTAAATGGGAGACTTTGTACATATTTATGAATTTTTATGTCATTTCCTAAATTTTCCTCATTTAAAAAATTTATTTTCTCTTCCTCAATGTCACTATAATTGTTAGAGCTGTAATCTCCATTTAACAAAAGACTTAAATTGTTCAGTATTATACTATGTTCCTATTTTATATAAGAATTAAAATAATATTACTAAAATTTTTAAATGAAACATAAAAATTCTAGATATACAAATTTGCAATACCTTTTTGTATGGATTTATAAAGTCATGTGGAAATTGCAAAGGAACTGAATTATAATGAGTATTTACATTCTTTCTATAATCTTCTATTATATTCAAATATTGATTTATCAATAATAATTGTTTCCATAATTCTATCATAGAACTATGATTTGTATTTGTAACAATTTGAGCAATCTAAACAAAACATAAAATAATTAGAAAAGATATAAGTAATTGATCATTATTAATTCATTTTACCAAATTATATTTAGATGCTCTTGTATGTGGACATAATAACAAACTACAACTATCTACTTCTACCCTTAAACTCCCTTCAAAATTACTTTTTAAATTATTATCCCAATTAATCATTTCTTCCATTGTTCCAAATAAATCAAAAGTACTAAATGCAGAGACAGTCACCTAGATATATAAATCAAATTATATTATACACATAAATATAAATTATTGAAAAAGATAATACTAACGTCTTGTTCACAAACATGCGAAAGCTCCAAATGTTGTTGAAACATTTCAGAAGAAGATTCGTTAAGAGTTTCAAGAGTTTCAGTACCAGATGAATAAACTTCTATTGTAGTAAACCATTCATCATCAATCATTATACCTAATAATCTACTTTTCTTATTATCTTTGCCATCACAAAGTGCAAGTATTGGTAGAAAAGGAACATTCATAAATTCAACGCAAATATTCAATGCATGACTAAAATAAAGTGATATTGTAACTCATACCATACTGTAATTCAATGAATTTATCATCAAAAATAACATTTAGTATGAATTTTATTGATTTACCATGCTTCTATTCTATTTAATGGCATATATTTTTCTTCTTCTTTATGCCAATTTTGTTTTATTAAAATCATACTATCCTCAAAATCATCTTCTTCATCAAACGAATACTTCAAAGGTGACCCAATGACCTCAAATTCTAAAATAATTAAACAGTTTGTATAATATGAATAAGAAAAAAAAATTGATCATATAAAAAAACTTACGATTTGTTTCATCATTATCGATAGATTTTGAATGATCAACGATAGATTCAAATGCCTTATAAAATAATAAAAATACATTTAATAAAATATCAATCCTTTTTGAAAGGAGATAACAAGTATTCGACTCACTTCTTTATATAATATAATATACGATGCATCTTTGAACTCTGGAAAAATTCGAGTCACATATGATAAACAAATTTTATCAATTTTTATAGACGAATCTAAAATTTTTCGCAATAATTTAAATTCGCTCATTATGGTAATTATTTATAATTCACATCTGAACTTTAAAAAAAAAATTATTTATTCTGCTCTACAATTTCTTGAAAATATTTGAATTGGAATTTTAAACGTACTTGAAATCGTGTTCAAAAATGCATCATAATTTCACATCTAAGCTTTATTTACATGTTATTTTATTGCATAGTACTAAAAATTTCAAATGATTTTAATTTTAAAAAATTGACGTTTAAATAATTTTAAATACGTATCTACATACTGTAAATATAATTAGGAACATAATGCATTTAAAAAAGTATATATAAAATACTATATGCTAGAAGATAATATTTTGTTGATTTTTGGAACGGTGCTAGGTATTCGTTGCTCTAGGCTTCGGACAGCCGTTTCGCGTTTGCGCTACTTGCAGTGGATGACATCGATATGTCAATACTTCTAAAGTACGAAATTTTTAAATAGAGTATAATGTTGTAGATATATAAAAAGATACTCTGAAAATAATCTTTGTTACGATAGTGATTAGGTTATGAAAAAGTCGAATAAATATTGGACAGGTGTGGGTAACATTTCAACAGTGTGTTTGTCCGAGGTAAAGAGGGACCGTGAGGACCTCGAAGATAGTCTTCCGACCTTTTACATGAAGGAACAAGATATTTCTGAATATTTAGAAGGCTGTGGTTTAACCACCTGTACAGCCGGCGATATGCCTGAGGACGTAGACGTCCTACGGGATAATAAAGAACAGGCAAAAGAAAAAAAATTATCGTCCGCGTCCATAGCAGGACCTGATACTAAAAAAACAGTAACTGTCAAACATCCCGAATCGAATAAACCGAAGCCGACTATTAAAAAAGGCAAACCAATACAAGCAGATTTAGACGTTTCTAAAGAATTTATAAGATGTAGAGAAGAATGTTTAGAGCGACTGGATTTAAGTAAATCCAATATTACTCATTTACCTAGTACGGTACGAGACTTGACGCACTTAGTCGAGTTTTATCTTTACGGTAATAAACTCGTAACATTACCGCCAGAAATCGGTTGCCTTGCAAATTTGGAAACATTGGCTTTGAGTGAAAATTCTTTGACAAGTTTTCCAAATACATTAGAAAATTTGAAGTCTTTAAGAGTTCTTGATTTAAGGCATAACAAGTTGAGTGAAATACCTGATGTCGTTTATAAACTGACGAATCTTACAACTTTATTTTTACGCTTCAATCGAGTTCGATATGTAAGCGATAATATACGAAATTTGACGAATTTAACAATGCTGAGTTTGAGAGAGAATAAGATTAGAGAACTTCCTGCTGGTATCGGCAAATTAGTCAATTTGATAACATTTGATGTTTCTCATAATCATTTGGAGCATTTACCTGAAGAAATTGGAAATTGTGTACAGTTGTCTACACTTGATTTGCAACATAATGAACTTTTGGATATTCCAGATACAATTGGAAATCTAATCTCATTAACAAGACTAGGACTTAGATACAATAGATTAACTAGTATTCCAAAGTCCTTGGCAAATTGTAAATTAATGGATGAATTTAGTGTGGAAGGAAATCAAGTATCTCAATTACCAGATGGATTGCTTGCAAGTCTCTCTGACCTGACAACAATCACATTGTCTAGGAATGCTTTTACTGCATATCCATCAGGAGGACCAGCTCAGTTTACAAATGTTTATTCCATCAATCTTGAACATAACAAAATAGATAAAATACCATATGGTATTTTCTCTAGAGCAAAGAATCTTGCAAAATTAAATATGAAAGAAAATCAATTAACTGCTTTACCATTAGACATTGGTACATGGGTCAATATGGTGGAATTAAATTTGGGTACAAATCAACTGACAAAAATTCCTGATGTTATTCAATGCCTTCAAAATTTAGAAGTCTTGATACTTTCAAATAATTTATTAAAACGTATTCCTGCCAGCATATCAAACTTACGTAAACTCAGGGTGTTAGATCTTGAAGAAAATAAAATTGAATCCTTACCTAATGAAATTGGCTTTCTAAGGGACTTACAGAAATTAATTTTACAATCTAATCAGGTAACTACTTTGCCAAGAGCAATTGGTCATTTAACAAATTTAACATATTTGAGTGTTGGAGAAAATAATCTAAACTATTTACCTGAAGAAATTGGTACACTAGAAAATTTAGATTCGCTTTATGTAAATGATAATGCTAACTTACACAATTTACCATTTGAATTAGCTCTGTGCACAAATCTCAGTATTATGTCAATTGAAAATTGTCCACTTTCTCAAATACCACCAGAAATAGTTGCAGGAGGACCCTCTTTAGTGATTCAGTTTTTAAAAATGCAAGGACCTTATCGATCTATGTAACATAATTAAAACAATTATTTCTTCTATGACTTAGATGTCGATTCTTAATAAGAGTGATACAGAAACAGATGATATTTGATACCAATATTTATTAAAATTAAATTCTCACTGTAATGATCTCACATTGCTAAAAATTATATAAATATTATGAATATATAATATATGAAAATGTGCATATATTTGTATTCTCATAAAGTGAATAATGAATAATCATATGTCTGCGATACATTTTCAATATGAAAAAAGAAACATATATATAAATATATTGTAAAATTGGTGCTGACTTGAAAATATGCACAACAAATAATAAATCTACAAGGAAATGAAGTCATAATGAGATATTTTAGATACAGTAATGGCATAAATTATACTCACATTTTATTAATATGATACGTATAATTTATGATACTTCATTCATTTACTTTATTTACTTTATGTATATTATTTAGAGATATTTTAAAATGTAATATATTTTATTTTGCATGCACTGTACTGTTTTACTATTTTATGTTATAGTATTATATTTGTCTTATAATTTCAAAAATTGATTTAGTATTTAATTATGCTATGACAGATTCATTGAGTTTACAGGTTTGTTACATACTGATACCTGAAAAAACTATTTTTAGGTATATAATTATTATTTTCAGAATTTATTATAAAGTAAACTATAAAGGAGTGAGATAATATTATTCAATTAAAGGAATATGATTAAGAATCGGCATCAATGATTTTATGTTTCAGTTACTGCTATTCATTGCCATAAAAACAAAATATTTTGATGACAAAATTGAAACAATCTTTAGTAATAAGTTTACATTGTATCATAGTATGAAAGTATGTATTGTTAGTTCTTTTATGTTATATTGTCAGCTATAGGAGCTTCAATTGTAAGAGATTTTATAAAAAGCCATTCTTCCAAAATACAAAAAGATATCTGTTTATATAATTTAGCATACTGTAATGAATAATGTATTATTTTCTTATTTCTAAAATTAAATGTAAACAATTCATATTTAGGCATTCTGAATCATTAAAGAATATTTTTTTCATGTCTCTTTAATAAGTTGCAATGTTCAATGGCAATTATAAGTTACATTTCATGAAACAGATAAAACTGTTATGACTTTTTTAATCAATTAATTCAATTATAATAATTAGTGCAATTAAAACTTTTAATTGTATCATTAGTATGCTCTCATCAGATGAAGGAGCTGCCAAACATAAGCATACTATAGTTTTAGTATTGTATTACTATAAGATCATTTCTTGCTAAGTTCCATAGGTGCTAACTTCTAATATAATTTTAAAAAGCAAGTATTTTTATTATTCTTAAAACTTTGTTATTTTAAATGCACAGAAATATAGCCCCCATATCAATCATAAATAATTATCTAATATTTAATCATAATATTCTCCCTTATCAAGTATATACAAAGTTATCTGCATATGTTTACTATTGCATTTAAGGCAGTAACAGTTCATTGGATCTTATTTATAGCTAACAATATATTGATTTTTTAAACATGTTACATATTTTTATCCACAAGGAATATAGATATATTACTTTTTTGTTTAGAAACTAATAATGCAATAATAAAAGTTTGATTTATAATCCATTTTATTATGCAATGGCTGTGCAATAAGAAATTAAATAATTAGCACAATTCTACACGTGATAATTGTAATTCAAAATAATATTGTATTAATGTATTATAAATTAGTAAACACGTATCTTTTATTCTTTAGTTAGTATTATTTTAATGTATTGAAAATACTGATTATATGCTTATTAATCAACTGAGATTATAAATGTTGAAACATTGTTGTGTGTAATGTAAGGAAATATTAGTATAGGTCCTATGATTCACAGATTCTATTTCAATTGTATTAAGTTACAATACTTTATAAATGGAAATGCAAAAATATTAATTTTTAAATAATTACTACATGCAATGGAACTTAGCAAATTTTTAATTATAATTCAGCGAAAGTATGTCTCTTCTGTAATTACTCACTGATGTATGTAAATGTATGATTTGTTGTGTGTCTATTTACACAGTTTTTCTATACTAGTTATGTTTCAAATATAATATTATGTAATGTATTTACATTAAACTTTGTCTTTCAAACTTCTACAAGTTGTCCATGAAATAAAGATCGATAATAATATTGCACAAATCAGAATTTACCTAATTTCATGTTAAATTATTTTTCTTTATGCAATACAAATTTTTTGTTATAATATAAATTTTAGACTATTAAATAGTAATTTTCAAGTTATTGGGAATTATAATTATCAATGCAAATTCATATAAAAAACTTATCTTTGTATTATCTATTTTTATGTTATAAACAATAATAGTTGTGTATATAATTTATAAAATATCATACATTTATCTTCTTTTTAAAGAGATGTACAAAATATTGCAATTAAGATATCATTTTCTTTTAACAATGTGTACGTGTATATTTAACACATAAAACTATTAAAGAAGTATCAAAATATGTGCAAAAGTTGCCAAAAGGAGTGCTACAATACAAATTGTTGTGATAAACTGTTCAACAGTTTTAAAATATATAAGTAACACACTATAGTATGATTGGAAAATGATTCAATTTATATGGAAATTTTAAATAAATTACTTCTCAAATTATAATCTTGTTGAATAGTCTATCAAATGCGACATTACGTATATAATTTTAAAATCATGATATTAATGTAATTCAATGTATATGACTATATAGGATGATGTATATTTCTAAATATATGAATACATTATAAATATTTTGGGATTTTGAATTTAATACATAAGATACTTTATTATATATAAGTGTTTTTCATTGTATTACAATACACTGCATTACTTTGAAGATGTTAAATACTTTTACAAATATAGTAATTTGATTCTTTTATGATGAACTCCTTAAATTTTTTTCAAATTTAAGAGAAATATGACTTGGTTTCTTCATAACAAATCGACCAGGTTTTATATTACTTCTGATGTTATAATTCTACAATTTAAAATGCAATGAAAACTATATCAATAAACCATATAACAAATAGTGAGTGTATTATATACTTCTTTGAATTCTCCAATAGTTCTAAATGAAAGAGGTAGATACTTTTTTTCAGTTAAGGTACTACCATGAAAATTATATTTTTTATATAATTTTCTTGCACTTATAAATTCTGCACTCATACATGTACCTGACTTTTGATTTATTATTCTTATATATTTTTTAAATTAATTAACAGTAAATTATTTTCAATTTAATTAATAATAATACCTTATGAGCTTTAATATTTCTTCTGAAAATAATTTTAAATTATCTAATGTATACTTATGACATTTTAAATCTTGCTCTGTAATTTTATTACGAATGAGTATTATCTCATTATTAATAATATTAATTTCGTTTTTTAATTTCAATATTTTGTTATATATATTAATGTTTCTTACATCTTCAGTGATCATCGTATTATATTTACATTCGTGAAATTTATTTACTTCCATAATATGCAAATTTTGATTAAAAAAGAGATTAAAATTATGATTCAAAGAAAAATTCCAAATTTCATTACAAAATTTATCTTCTGTAATCCACACATTATAATTTATATTATCCTGCAAAGTACAATAGTCATAAAATAAATATATATCATTTATTACTAAATATATATATAATTTAATTATAAACATATATTCATAAACAAGTGAATTATTGTTATATTTCTAAATTTATTAACACTTTACCAATTCTTCATATTTTTCTTTGAGTATTTTTTTTCTAAGTTGAAGTACATTATTCTTAGTATCTAAAATATGTCTAATAATTTTAAATTCTGTACTTTTATTAACATATTTTGTTAATTGTAAATCTTGTTCTTCATTGTTTGAAATCATAATTTTTTATTAAAATATCTAAATATATATTCATATTAATTATTAAAAAAATGTATCATTTATTTCGCTTATGACTTTTCATATTTTTTTATACGTCTATATATCATCAACTACGAATATTATTTTTTTTTTCTTAAGAAAATTATACAAATATCTATTTTTTATAAATTATATGTTAAAATTATAAGAAATATTTATTGAAAATGTAAAATTAAAAAATATTGCATCTTTCCTTTTTTTTTATTCTTTAATATTATATATGATACCTGATTGGTAATTTCCGTTAAGGCCTTTTCAAATAACCTACTATACACCATCGAAACCAATTGCATTTTGTATTATAGCGTGTTGGAAGCTTATCTAGTAAAGTAACCTATTTCGTATGTAAACAAATTTTTAAATTTTATTCACCATTGAATATACATCATTAATGGATTAAATATTATAAAGTATGAATATAAATATAACATGAGTTCAAACGGTTTAAAAGTATTAAAGAAAAAGTTAGTATAAAATTGAAATATTTTATGATTTCTATATACGTTTGCTACATTTATTTTTCATGAAAGTTGTATAATTGGAGGATAACAAATACGTAATAATGGATTATCATAACTGGTTTTTAAGTGATTTTTTTATCATAATATTTACAGCAATTCTTACCCACAAACGATACGATGTCAAAAATGTCTAGAAATGGGACATTGGAGTTATGAATGTAAGGGAAAACGGAAATATTTACATAGGTCTTCATGTACGACACAACTGAAGAGAGCTTTAAAAAAGCAGCAAGAATCTAATGGGTAAATTTGTAAAACATAATTAAATTATTAAATGGTAGGATTTCAAAAATCATAATCTTAGAAAACTATATTTACAGTGAAGAGCACAGGAAAGAAGTGAAGAAAAGTCGTTTACAGAAAAAAATGAAAGGAGAATCTAGTAGTTCCAGTAATACAAATTCTAGTGCTGATAGCAGCAGTTCCAGCAGTAATAATGATAGCAGCAGCAGTAGCTCATCTTCAGATAGTGAATCAGACTCTAGTGATAGTGTTTCAAGTAGTAGCAGTGGCAGCAGTAGTAGTAGCAGCAGCAGTAGCAGCAGTAGTAGCAGTAGTAAAAGTAGCAACCGTTCTAACAAATTTATTTTACACAAAAACATCCTGTCTAAACAATTTTAGATAAGAAACAAAAAATCTTACAATAGATATATTCATTTTTTAAATATTTATGAAATACTTTACTGATTCATTTATGATAAATATAAATAAATAAATAAATATATATATATGTATGTATGTATATGTATGTATAACTTCTTTGTACAAAATTAAGATAACTAAAGTACTTATGTGTAACATACATTTTAAATAATAATTTATATAATGCAGCTTGTAATAAAATTTTATTAATATTTCGATACCAATAACCCCCTAATCACATTAAATGTTTGTAAATAAAAAAAGATCATAATTTTGTACTAAAAACATTTTCATAAAATAAAAAATATTTATTATACATATAAAAATATAAAATATAAATATTAAGTATTTAATTAAAACATTATTTTTTTTATTGGATTATAGATTAAAATATAATTCACTGTAAAAATGATATTTAAATAATAAACAATATTATGCTGTAAATAAAATTATCATTGTGTTATTATTTTTTGTATCTCCTTAGTCATCAATACCTTCAGGAAGTGTTTGTATTATTACTCTTCTCTTTGAATCATAAACAAAATTATTTGATTTGAATATGTCACTTTCATAAAATGGATGAAGGTTGAATATATCAATTTGTTTAGCCTAAAATAAAATGTATATTTGAATGCAATAAGACATAACTTTACAAAACAGAAAAATAAATGCTTCATACCCGATCCAATAAATCTTTTTCTGAAATTTCAATTGTCGTAATACGACTTCCGTGTATAGCTTTTTGAAATGTTAAAGTATCTAATGTAATCTGCCTAAGTATATAATATAGAAGTTCACTGTGATCTTTTTTGTATGATAGATATTTCTGGAATGTCTAAAAAAATAATTGAACACTTGTTACAATTTTGATAAAATCGTTATATATACGTATTATGTTTATTAACCATTACACTTACCTGACGCATGCTTTTCATTACTGAATATTTTTGTGTTTCTACAAAACTATCAAGCATCATTCTGATGGCAAGATTAATGTCATTTTCTTGAACGTGATCACGTAAATGAATTTTAGCACTTGCCTCAGCCATACGTAAGATACTTTCTATGTGTCGTACCGTAATTGGTAAACTCCCAGTAGCCTATTAATTGTTAAAATAAATGCTATTATGCCCTGATAATTTTTACATTACAAATATTTCCAACTTACCAAACTTTCTTGTCTCAATTGACTGTATAATTTTGCTACTTTATCTTGATCAATATTTGTTAACTTAGGATGAACATTTTGTCGTGCATATACTATGTATTTTTTTAAAAGATCTTGTGGAATAGATATATCATGTGTATTATCTGTGGTAGTTGTTACTTTTCCTGCATTTGTAGGATGATGTTTAATATGAGAGTTCACAACAAATTTAGCTAAATGCCGATCTTGCATAGGGTCTATTTCATCTTTTATTACACAAAGAATATCAAAACGAGATAAAATTGGTTCTGATAAGTCTACCTAAGTAAGACATATTATGATATACGATGACAAAAATTATAATAATTATTTTAGTTTAAATCTATATCTATTATATTACTTTAAATATTTATATCTTACGTTTTCGGAAAATGTCATACTAGCATCATATCTTCCTCCGATAGGATTGGATGCAGCTATTACTGAACATCTAGCATGAAGTGATGTAACAATTCCTACTTTTGAGATAGAAATACTTTGCTGTTCCATAGCTTCATGAATAGACGTTCTATCTTGGTCATTCATCTAGAAATACAATAACATTTATATTTTATCACTGAAATTTTATATAAAATTACCTTATCAAATTCATCAATAAGACAAATTCCATGATCAGCAAGAACTAAGGCACCAGCCTCTAACGTCCATTCATGAGTACTTGGTGATTTTCTTACAAAAGCAGTTAATCCCACTGCTGAAGCTCCTTGACCTGTAGTAAATACTGCTCTTGGTGCAATTTTTTCAACATATTTTAAAAATTGAGATTTAGCTGTTCCTGGGTCTCCACATAATAACACATTGATATCTCCTCTTACTTTATGCTTATTACCTATATAATTATAAAATTTTTGCTAAAAAACATTCTTAAAATGCACAGAAAGTAATACTAAAAATAATAATACCAGGGTTTTTTGATTCCCCTCCAAATAACGCTAAAGCTAAAGCTCTTTTTGTATATTCATGAGCATAAATTGAAGGAGCAATACTTGCAACAATGCGATCAATAATTTGATGATCTTTACTTAAAGCAATAATACTAGAAATATCTTCTTCGGTTAAAGATTCTACAATTTCTTTTGAATCTTTTACATGTAAGTGGTTAGCAAGAAGAACTGTTGCAAATACAGGAAAACCCTTAAATATGAAATAAATATTAATTAGCTAGAATAAAATGTTTGAAATAATCATATACAGTGCTATTTACTTGTTCTGTATTCAAAGAACCATCATAATTATTTGTATAAATAGCAGTAACATCAACTTCATCTCCTGGTTTACAGCGATCACAGAGATCTGATAAAAGAATACATTCCTTGCTCCTAGGAATTCTACTTTTCTGATAGTTTCTATATATTGTTTGCTCCATATTAATCTGTAATTAATATTATTGTACTGGTATACACTGTATATACAAATAAGATGACTTTAATACTTAAACATACCATAAAAGGTCCAATACTTTGACATTCGGGACATGATCCAGGCTTAACTTCAGTATTTTGATTTTGTACAAAAGGTCCAAGTACATATCCACATTTTGTACAGTCATACTTTACAACAGACAATTGTGGTAATACTCCTGTAGTTGCAGTAACAACTCCTAGAGTACGTACTAGTTGATTCAAATGTAATTTCCTAATTTTTATTATAAATATTATATTACTTTTTTTTTTGTAAAATAAAACATTTTAACCAATGTATAGTTATATTTTACCTAAATGTACGAATTTCTTCTATTAATGGCAATTCTGATATTCTGACATGAATTTCACCTGTAACTCTTTCATAGCTAGGAAATATAGTTAATACCAATTCCTTTGCTACTTCATCAAATATTTCTAACATTTGAAATGGTGCTTCTGGTAAAAAATATGCCAAAACATGCTCTTTGCTAGCAAGAATAGGGAATTCCACAATAAAGCTAGACTATTAAAAGATAATATAAATATTTTCTACATCTTAATATTAACATTGTTACAAATAGTAGTAAAAATTAATACTTGATTACTCTCGCACATATGACGAATACGTTCTTTATACATATATTGCCCTTTTGAGTTAGTATGTGTACGAAGAAAACTTTTAAAACGATTAGAAATTTCAGTCTTAGGTCCTAGCATAGCTACCCAATCTTTAACTGAATGACCTTTAGTATCTTCTAAATTCTCTATAGATTCAACCATCTAGAATAGAAATAAATATTATATGACATAATAAAATATATCATATATGAAAAACAGCAAAAGCAAATCTTACTTCTGCGTCTTCAATTTCACCTGTTGCTGCTTTTTCAGCCATACGTCTTTTACGGGCTTGTATTTCTTCTTCATCACTTTCATCTTAAATACGTAAAGATACTATTATGATATATTTATAAAAGAATATTAATTATATTATTTCCTGCTGCACGATCTCTTTTACGCATAGTAGATTCTGCAGCTACACGTTCGCCTTGAGACATTTCTGAATATTCTTCATCATCCACTACATCTGGATCATATCTATCTAATGCTGGCATGGGACGATAATCACTGAAATATCACGTAAAACTTAATACCATATATACTTCAGTGTATAAAATAAAAATAAAATAAAACATTACGCTTCCATATTGTCCCCAAATAATTCTTCTCCTTCCTCTTCTTCCTCATTAACATCATTATCATTACCCAATAAATCAGATTCATCCTCAAATGGTTCATCTATTTCTGGTGCAGGAGATGTCATTGCCTCTGTATGTCGATCAGAGTGTGCTGGACTACTAGAATCCTAAAGAATATATAAAACATAAAAAATTAATAAATTAAAAAATTTATGAAAATAACATAGAAATAAAAAATAATAATACTATATGATATATTTCATTAAATCTGTTAACCATATTGAATTGGAATTTATGATAATGTATGTATATAATATTTGTCTAAATTTAAAAATCATATGCTTTTTTAATTGTAATATCTTACCATATTTGTATCTAAAAAATGAGACTTTAATGGCAGTTAAACAAATTTGTGAATAAGGATATAACATAAATCTGAAATAACACTTCTTTCTTTTTATTTTGAGGCTTGAACCAAAAATCACGAATTGGCGGGAATTTCTTTTAGATTATACAGTGCAATATACAACAGTCATACCAACAATTCTTAATAAATAACTGTAATTAACCAATAGAGAATGTTCTTTATGAGAAATAAATAAAACTTTTAACTCGCATTGGGTAATTAAATTATTTACATATATTTCCATTAATTACAATTAGTTTACATAATATGAAATTTGCTAATACAGAGATTTACGGGCTTACAGATAGATTAAACAATTTCTTTTACGAAGATGTAACTATAAAGATAACAAAACAAACAGAAGCTTAAATATTATTTTTATTTATTATTGACATTTGTTGAACAAGAATTATGTTTTAAAAAATATAAGGATTGTAATTTATCTATTACAGAAGTAATTTCTGCTTGTAAATTTGCTGCTCTTACGATAAGATAAAGAGATTCTTGAAAACGTTTCTGTGCAAAGCGTAAACTCTTTGGAACTAATATACCAAACCATTCTATAGGGTCTTGAATCTCATTTCCACTGCTATTGAATTTGTTTAAGCTTATGTCAAAATTTGGGATTATTTTGCCAGTTTTTTCATTTAATTTTGTTTCTAATTGAAATAATGTATGTACACTTTCAACATCAACAGGAACCTGTAAAATACTTATATTTTCTTTGCCATGTATATATTTGGCTTTAGCTAATTCAATGTAACCATCGCGTAATGTTCTTTCCATTTGGATATTAATATTAATCTTCTCTTCCATTAACTCTAAATTACGCAATAAATTTGTATCAATAGCTTTACATATGTCATCTATACTTTCATGCATATTGTATGCTATTAATATAAGAGTGTTGAGTTTATTATAATATATAATATTGTGGAATGTTATCTGAAATATACAAACACAAAATATAATGTATGATATGTACCATATTATATACCTTATACTGTAATTTTGTTAATGATAATATTAACTTTAATGCTTATCGATTTAATTCTTACACCTTTGTATACAAACCAAGTATGAAAATAATCCTAATTGTAATTTAATAAGGAATTTATATTATTTTTACAAATTATTTCAAATTTTATAAAAACAACTTGTTTATACGTGATTATAATTCTATATAATACTATATTTTTCTAAAGCAATGATATGATACACGATATTATAAAACTATTAGATTGGTTACATTTGGCTACACTGCTTGCAGTGCTATTAACTCTAAAGAATGTGAATGCTACAAAATTGACATATCGAGTAATCTTACGAATGTTAACAATGGCAGTTAAAGAAAAACAAACAGATGCTTCTACAGATGAAATAGAATGGAATGTTGAAAATGAAATTCAATTATTCTTTGCTATGAATGGACATAAACCCGTTGGTAATATTTAAGTTTGTATGACATTACTATAGGTTATGTTTACATTGATTACTGAAACAAAAACAGTAGTTTATAATTTTATTTAAATTGTACAAGCTTATATAAAAGATATCGTTATTTAATTAGATTTCATTAAACGTTTCTTTTTCAAGGCATTAATAAATATTTTCACATGGTCTGCATATGGGAAAAGTTTCGTGCCGCTATTCACAAGGATGTATCATTAAAAACAATTTGGGAACATTTGGAATCAATGTATGATCTAATGGCTCTGGTACTTACTATTGCTTTAAAAAGTTAATTATAATTGTTTAAAATAATCTTGGAGATCTATTCAAATTATTTTAGGATGACATGGAGGATTTACCATTTCCTAGTCAAGAGATAGATTTTTCTTTACCAGAACAAGAATTTTTGGGACCACTTAAATCTCGTAAAAGAGATGAACCAGAATTAAAGTTAAAAGACAGAGAAAAATTTAAGGAATTCAAAAAAGAAAAAGACATTAAAGATCCTATGAAAAAAGATGCTATTCTTCGTGATATAAAAGGAAGTAAAGATATTGATAAAAAAAAAGAAGAACTTAAAAAATATGTTAAAGATATGGAACTAAAGAAAGATAAACTCAGAGAAATTAAAGATGTTAGGAAAGATTATAAATCATCTAAAGGACGATCAAAAGGAAAGGATGATCTTGAAGAAACAGGTATATGTACATTTGTTTTTTGTATTTCTAAATAATGTTTAAGAAATTAAATAATTGCTTTCTTTAGCATCAAATGGTAAAAAAGAACGTAAAGATTCTGATTCTGGTCGTGAAAGTTTAAAAAGGGGTCCGAAACGACCAACTAGGCAGAGTATGGATAGCACATCTAAAGCATCTTCCAGTCCACGTGATACACCTCCACCAAAACGAAGGAGAATATAACAATTTATATAAAATTATTATTATGTGTAAATAGTGTTTACATTTTAATATATGGACAAAATGTGAATCATATATTTCTCTATGAACTACACAAAGACTTATATAAAAGACTATTGAAATTCAACTTTATAAAAAAATTTTACATTAAACCATTGTAAATATAATATACTCTACTATGTAAGAGACATAAAAAAACATATTAAATACAATTAAAACTTATGTATATAATTTTTTTTATGAAGAATATGAATGTGATAAGATTTAGAATCAATATAATTTATTAAATCGATTTGATATTATATAAATTATATATGAAGAATCATATATAGTGAAAATAAGATAAATAAAACAAAATTGAATACTTTGTTAAATATTAGCCAGTATTTATTACAAAAGTTGTAGACATTTTCATTGACATGGATGTTTTGAACTAAGTTTGCTCATGCTATTGGAATAGTGGGATGATCCCCAGTTTTGTCGATGGAATGAATTATGTAGGTAAAGACCAGACACTGGTAACGATTTTTAAGTGCCAAGGATAAATTCTCCAAAACCAAACTTGTCTATCGAAGTCTTCTTGCTTCACGTTCAGATTCTAGTAAGGTTAGGAGATCACCTTCTCGCACCGGTCCTTTTACATTTCTGATAATTTGTCGGTTTTGTTCACCCAAAAATTCGACTTTTACTTGTGTACATTGTCCTTGTGAACCAGTTCGACCTAGGACTTTTATAACACGAGCTAAAACTACTGGTTTATCCATGTTTGTTTCACGTGGCTTTACTACACCAAAAGACGTTTTACGGAAATGAAAGAATCTTTCACACTTCGCGTTCCAGTAATAAAGATGGCAACTTCCGGTAAATTTCTCCAGAAAAGTTATCATTAAATTTAATTTAATAAATTTTAAATGATAATGGATAATATAAAAATACCTTTAGAGTTAGTGATGTATACATAATAAAGTATATATTTTATAACGATAATAATTATTTAATTATCTTAAACATAAATAATTAATGCTATTACTATAAATGCATAGTAGATGGCGGTTTGAATTTAAATCCGTCTTTAATATTTTAATTACAAAAAAAGAAAAAAAATGAAAAAAAAAAAATAAAAATGTTACATTGCAACTATTATCTAAAATGATTATTTCATGTAACTATAATAGAATTTAAAATATAAAAAAATTGATTGATTGCTCAATTGTTATTGATGCTTTATAAATTATATATTATAAATTTTTTTATATTTCGACAACGTGTATTTGTACTTATATCAGTTTTACAATATGTTAAATTTTCTCGATGCAACAGCAAGACACGAGGCCCAATTGTTTGTGATCACTACAATTTGAATTGCATGATAGTTGGTAATTATTTATAAGAATACGTGAAAAATTTGTTTACATTTTATATCACGCATTTTGTTTTAAACTGCATGATTTAATATAATTTAATAAGAAAAAATTTAATACAATAAAGCATGAACGTGACAGATATGTCCAGAACTTATTGTCAAGTTTCAATGTTTATCATATTATATGACAATAAATTACATAATTCTTTAAACAGGGAAATATGCAATCCTGTTTTACATACAATAATAATTAATTATCATCAATCAATTAATTATAATTAAAATACTTCAGTTTTAAATATATAAAATTTGAAATTATAGGTTTTCATAGTATTTCATGATGATATAAGAATCAAGATGTAGATAATATGTTTAGTTCATTAAGTCTCTGGCATTAGATATTAACAAAACACTAAATTCATTTCCATAAGAAGTATTAATAATACTTGTTCAAGAATATTAAGGTTTAAAATGTTCTTTAATGTATAATCAACGTTGCGGTTTAACGCTCTAAGCAATTACTCAAGTACAAACGATACCACTAATTGTTTAAACACAAACGATTTTTCAATTTTTACATAAATCAATAGTACGTGATACGAATAATACATGAAAATAGCAATCAAATATTGAAAATATTCATTACATTTTGATTGCATATAAAAATTGTAACATTATATTAAGAAATGAATTTTCCTTTAAAATAGTTGAAGTTACTTTTTAAGTAAAGTAGCCTTTAATACATCATTTGTCAAACAACTTTAATACTTTGCGAAAACTGTTATGTATCTGACTTTTCTTTATGTTTCGGGGTAAAAATGAACTATGTTCCAAAATGCTTATTTTACTAAAGATGCTTGTACTTGATTAAGTATAATGAAATCCTTTGCCATAATGAAAGTGGACCCTGACATACATTCATCATAATTACAAAAGCACCCATTTTTGCAAATAATACAATTACATTATCAAGTACATATATACCGTACGTCACAAATAATTCTTTACAGTCAGTCAAAAATTCGTTTTTATTTGTAGTTCTCACTTTTCCAACAATAATGTTGAAAGCTAGCAAAGCTTTAGAAGGAAAACCTTTCGGGTTTAAAATACCGTATGCATTCACGATTTTTCGGAAATGACAGTATTCAAGTACTTTTCGTTTACGTCTGTTGTGTTATGTCCCAGAGCAATTTCCAAACTAATATGGAAATGTAATCATGTTCGATAACGAACGTTCGACACTAGTGTACAACACTGAATGGAATAATCAATCAACTAATAATATCCATAAAACTTTTACTGCCATAAATTGGTAGAAAGCGTTTGTCCCGGAAGTGCAGTAGTAGTAGACTTTCCTGGTGTACTCGAAAAACTAGTGCCACTCAAAGAGAGTTGCGCCATTTGTTGCGGTAACTGAAACGTAAATATATTCGTAATTGTAAACATAGGAACATATATTATGCATTTGAAATGTATCATTTGTATACCTGAGAACCATATACAACAGGTTGTTGTTGTTGCTGCTGAGATGTTAAATTAAAGAAAGGATTACTACCAGGAGCTGGTTGAAGATTTTGTGTTAACATTCCACTCCATCCATTATTACTACTAATATTAGACTGTCCTAATTGCATCATCTAGCAATGCATGAAATAATTAGTTTATTGATAAACAGAGTAATTATTTGTAACGTGCAATACATAAATTAATGTACCATTTGGGATTGCATTGTAATGGCAGGATTAGGTATACCATTCATCTGATTTATCTGGCCTACATGTAAACAATTTCCTAAGGAATTTGATGCCACTGATCCTAATGAAGTCGAATTTACTGTAATTTGATTTTGACTCATAGGTAATTGATTAGATGTAACAGACATCTGGGCTGGAAGTTGATTAAGTTGAGCCAAGGAACTTTGCTGATTTGGAAAACTAGTTTGTTGACCAAATGGTACCACAGTTGGTACTTGTTTATACTGAACAGTAGATTGCTGAGTATACATTCCACCTAAAACATAACATGACATAAATTACACCAATATTTTATACATAGTAATGTTTTTTAAGTAATAAATGTACCAGGAACTCCAAACATTGCTGATTGTTGATTACTCGGTGTACCATATAAGGCTAAAATACTGTCTTTGGACATTTTATTTTTTTCTTGAACTGATGGTGCTGGTTGATCAAAGAAACTCTCATCTTCACTTTTGTTCACAGTTGTTGATGTGTTTGTGGTTGTACCAGAAGTACTACTACATGTTGAAGCTACCGAAGCTGGAGGTGCAGATAAAAAGGAAGAAAATATATCATCTCCAGTACCATTTACATTTGGTTGATTTGTTGCTGGAGCATCTGTTAAAAATTTGTTCATCTTTAAAAATATAAATTTTATTCCATATGTTACTGAAATAAATGTCTAAAAGAAATATACCTAAGCCCAATAAGTCTAAAGTTGAAGAATTATTTGCTCTATTAGGTTTAGGACTGACAGAACTTTTAGGTTTTGGCAACTGAGGCACTACTTCTGGTTTCTTCACAGGTGGAAGTATAGCTTGATTATTAGAGGTTTTAGAATTTTCCTTTTTCCGTCTGCGTTGTCTTTCTGCTTCTTCATCCAGTTCTTTATCCCAATTAACCTATACATTTATTCGAGAATTTACTTATAAATTTACTATACATAAATTAGTAAATGTTTCCTAAAGTATTACCTTCGGTAAAGGTGGTGGTACCCATTCTCTAGCTATATATCTTTTATGTTCATATTTTGCACGAATAAAACTTTCAAGACTACTAACTGTTTGAGGTCTTTGAAAACTATCTGGAAGGTTAGCTTCATATACTGCTCTTGCACGGGAATTACCCATTTGTTGTAAACTCTAAAAGTAAAACATATTGTACTTCTCATTAAGAGTGCTTGCTGTAATTAATATTAATAATTAGAATGTTTGGAACTAAAATATATAATTATAAACATACCACTACTTGTTCTGGTGTCCATGTATCTAAGTTAACAGATTTAACTTTGCTTATATGAACTCCAAGATTTCTATGTATTCCAGCACAACGAATGCATAAGAATATACCTAGATTCCAACTGGCCCATCTTGGTCCTATGAAATAAATAAATGCTAATCTATTAAATTTGTAAATTTATTATATATATAACAAAACTGCAATAAAATGAACATATTAGTACTTAATTTTTAAGCAATACTTAACAATAGGAATAAAAAAATATAGTATTCTATAACTTCATTTACATATAAAATACAAACATCAAGACAAATGAAACTGAATTCAAATTATAATACAATCCAGCAGTTGGCAGAATTAATTTACCTTATTTATAGATATTATGATACATAAAATATGTACATGAAAAAAGGAAAATAATAAATGCTGCTAACATAAAACATTTTTTATTAAAGATTAGCAGAAAAAGAAGAATGTGTACATGAATAAGCAGTGAATAATTAAGAAACCACACTGACATTCACACGTAATCGTTGTCACCTAATGTTTTGTCACGGTGGAATTAAAAATCTATAATGCCTTACTAGATGAAACTAGGTCGTTTTCAAATCAATATCAATGCTTTAGATGTACTGTTACTCACAATACAATTTTACAATGTTCATAAGAAGGGAACAGAATAATGAGGGTTCATCAGTCAAACAGAGACAAGACATCGTTAGAAAATATACAATTGACGCACGAACCTTTCGCATCGCAATCGACACAATACTTGTTGTCCTCATCGCGTAGCATCTGTATCAAAAGATTCTGACACTTCTCTTGTATTTGCTTGGAACGTTCTTTTTCCAGACGGGACGTCATTTCTGTATAGTAACAAAATTCTTCTCTACCAAGTCCAAAACAATGTTTTCTTCTTACAACGTTGAAGACACACGAGAACCGTCAAGTAGTATGCAGTAATGGCCAGCGAACGCCCCCAATAGTTCAATTCGTTATTCAGTGAAACGTCATGTAGTTGAAGGAATTCTATTGGGTTGTACGTTGTGATATCTTAAATGAAATAGTAAGTAGATCGTCAATGATTCTAACATGTATCTTGTGTTTCTATCTATCGAAGACTTTTTACATTATGTAGTTACTATAATCACAGACAAGGTATAGGATAGACCTATCACCCTATGCACTTTTTTGTCCCACGTCATGGGGGCTCTAGAACCCCTCACCACTCTAGTATCATTTCCAACATTACCGATTCAGCACTAAATAAAATACAACATTACTAGTGGTTGAAATTACAATTAAATTTAATTATAAAATAAAAATTAACTATAGGGCATGATATAATTACAAAATATAAAAATCAATATTTTTATAATGTGTGTTTATTCTTATATATATTGCTATCAGATAAATAGTGAAAACGGTAATATTAACTATTTCTTTTTAATCTTTCAATTTTTACATATGTTTCTCACAGGAACGAATTTTTATCTTTAAATTTATTAATTACACGAATGTGATATTTTTGTCGTATTTACTTCAATTTACTTTTTATTTATTGCATAGCTAATACATAATGTTATGCTGCTTTCGTGAAATAAAATTGCACCAGTACAATTAAATTTGAATTATTTCAATATGACTACATTTACATTCTCGTATATACGTTTTCATAATATATTTATATTACGATTCCTTTATTACATTTTTGGTGGTGAGAATGTAAGTGATAGAAAAAATAAGGTTAATTATAGATAAATGAGCTATGCAGTACTTGCAGTCGTTGGATCATTGTGGAATTTAAGTCATTATAACATAAAATACTGCAGCATATAAGAATTTTATACTTCATTTATGATTATAACATATTCCATCCTATACTTCATTTATAATTTCATACTAAAATTTAGTTTTGATTTCAACCACTTTGAATATTGTAATCTTATTCTATGCTGAATCGGTAACGTTGGGAAAGACATTAAAATGGTAAGGTGATCCTAATGCTCCTAAAATATGTGGCACAAAAAAGCAATGGGTGATAGATTTATTTTCTACCCTGTTTGTAATGATGCGAATAAAATTTTTTCTTTTCTTTTATTAATTTTAATTTATAATGAATATAAATATATTAAAGTAACTAACCATGTAATATATGTAAAAGTAACTAATTCTGAATGTAAAAATATTTGTGAATTTGGGTTATAATAATGAAAATTCATACTACGATATACTTTATTTATTTTGTTCCTTTAGTAATATGATTATTAATTTGTACATAATAATTTACATGTGCAAAGGAAAATTACAGTACATAAATATAGTAAATCTGATTTTTAACCCTTTATAGAGAAGCAATTTTAGAATTCAATATGTGATAATTAATTTCGTATTCTGAAAATTATGTTTTTAATATGAATTTTAACTTTCATTTTGAATATTTTGAAATTATTGATTGTCATAATATTATTCATAAAACATTAATGTACGATACTTCTTGGATTTATTGTCTATTTTTGAAAAGTTTCTAACCTTTCAATCTAATATTATAAATGACTATTATGTTATTGCTCTTTTCGATTCTCCTAATAAAGTATTCAACTTTAGCATAACTAAAGTTCTTGTTTCCAATTTCCTATTTCATCGATCGTTGAAAATTCTATTTACCGACCGCTAAAATTACAGCTTAAGTGCTGCTATCTAGCGGAGAAAATGTGTTTAACCTGGGCGTACTCGCTTGATTGCGTCATAAGAGAAACTGATTTTCCTAGGTAGTCAGCCATATTGACTCACGCGTAAGAACATTGAAAGCAGTCCCGTATTCGCTGTGCTTGCGGTTTGAATTAAGTGGTGCATTACTACTACGGAAATTTTCAATCTGAGTTGTATTTTCCATGAACTGTGATCACTCGTTGAATCAAGAATTTGGAAATATCAAGGTACGTAAGCCATAATATTTGTGCTAGTCTGGGGACTATTTGAAAATGATGTGAGTATGGGCCGTGGCCGCATCCAGCGTCGCCCCGCGATTCGACGGACCTGTTTCGTATTCGTAACCGTCGGTGGAATTGGAACGAGAGTTGTTTATGTGCTTATGGTAGGAAGTACTCCGTTACTTGATCGAGAAAGAAACAATTAGTGCTCGAACGCTGTGTATTTTTTTTATTATATTTTTGTCTACGATCTTTCTATTGTGGTGCATTATTTAAGAAAAGATCGCGTCTATATTCTATAGGTAAGTTTACTAGTTTTCTGATTTCATTTATTACTTTTGTGACATAGAGTAAAAAGGTTTTCTTCAATTTCTTCAATAACACTAAGTCTTAAAATATTAAATATAGAATTAGTAATATTTGTACAACTCCGAGTTTAACAGTGATGGATAGGAATGCAAGCCTTTAAATACGAATATTTATTATCATGTAAGAGTTTATATATTGACTCGTATATACTGATTCAATGTTTATTATTTTGTTACGAATAACAATGAATTTTTGTAAAAATTGATACAACATAAAGGACATTTATCATTCACATAACCTACAGTGATGTCAAAGTATGTGATGAAAAGAATAATATTTTATCCACTATTCTATGTATTAGGAAAAGTATCTAAATTATCGATAAATATATTATATTGTATATATTTCAATGAAAAATACACGGAAACATTTGCTTGGCCCGATTGAAAAAGATTTTTAATGCAATGTACTATTATAGTTTTATTTAATTTTTGCATTTCTTCTGATTGCATGTATATTACGTTGTGCAGCATGTGAGGCAGTGTATTGTTTAAATTTGTAACGAAATCAGATATTCGACTATGTATCGATTTTTTGTTCGATGTTTACCCAAAACTATTTACTCATATAGTTATATCTAAAAACTCTGACAGGCATGGAATCAATACATTCAAGATAGAAGGCACGAATGCATTCTTTGCGTGTCGTGTATCATATTTCTTCAGAAAGACTATCATCCATTCCCTTGTGAGCCGTGATACAATGAGACGCGCAGAATCCGCTGGAAATTGCTGTTAAAATCTAGAAATTTATTTCGTTACTGGGTCGAGGATAATCAACGAATTTGAAATAACAGCGTGCCAACTGCAATTTATTTCCATTATCGTATGGTTTCCTCTTTCATGTGTGACCCTGAGGGTAGAGTGCTTTTGCAAAGTATGCCACACGTTTCATATTTTACCACATATATTTCTCTCTTTCTCTCTCTCGTATGACAAATCGAATTAAACAAGGACGTTTTCAATGATTTTATATCTTGGAAAATAATTTGGAACTTTTGAATTATCTGATTCCCTTATCAAAGATTTATAATTCTTGAAATCTATAGTCTAAGATTTGTATATCTCATACATTGATTCTTTGTAGTAAATGCGATTATATCGCTGATTAGTATGAACACATCGTTTACTGATGTGCTAAAATTTGGTCACTTTTCTGGCGAACGCTTGTTACTACCAATTAGGTCAGTTATACACTTTGTTATTCAGATGTCAGCTTTTTTGAAACATGCATTAGGTCAGTTGTGTTCCTAGCTGTTGCCAATGATCGATTAGAGCTTCCCTTTGTTCATTTCTAGTTACGCTTTGACATTCTCGGTAATGCATTCAAACAACGTCTTCGAATAAACATTATGTTATAAATCTATTCTCGTATCTCTGTAAGAGAAGTTGCAGCAATTTAACAGTAAAATGGTAGTAACAAAATTTAGTTATCCTCATCCTTTCGGCTGACACGCAGTAGCGGCAAACGTGTAGATTAACTAAGTTTAGATTCCGGTGTGTATTTAGGATTATTGCCACAAACGGTGGATAGCCGTTAACCAGGGCAAGGAAGTGTACTTGCGAGCGATGCGTAGGGAGGTGTGACGTTGATAGGAGGTGATGCACGACATGACCAAAGTTACAATGAACTTGGGGGAACTAAGCTTACGCGCCAGGGAACACACCATGTAACGTAGCTTTCTCCTATATACGGGTGCGTGCTCATGAACTATGACACGAATACCGCTCGAATATTCTGACCAGTCAACCTCGTTGATCCCAAAGCCGGTGTAGATTTCAATGACTTTGTAAAACGACCGCCCGGTGTTCGTAAAGTGCCACGTAAATAAAATACAAGGTAAACAAATAACATACGATCTGTAAATCGGTTTACGAGTATTGCTCGTTATACGATGTAATCGCTGCCTTTATCAAGCAACGTTATCAATTTATTGATGCTCATGGTATCCGTATCAGGAACTATCCGGGCTAAATTAGAACTTGGCGGGCTTGTAGTGGTAGCAGCGCCAGACGTATCACACCTGTTAACGTAGTAGCAAGCGTGCTCCGCGTGGTTGGCTGATTCACGTAAAATTTAATTGTACGGTTGGCTGGCACTCGCGTACCTGTCTTCCGTAAAGCAATCGCCGGAAGTATCGGCGTTCACCACGCGAAAGAAACTTGGAAGTTGATCGCGACCAAGGCGTGGCTCTGATTGTCACGTGCTCTGCTATATTCTGATTACGGAATCGTAATTTACGGTAAAAAAATTAAATTGTAATTTCGAATTGGGCAGGACTTAAATGGTAATTAAAAAGGAAGTACAAACCTAACCTACAATTAAAGCTTATCATGTTTCTGTTTCGTCGTTTCAGATTGCCTTTGTCACCGGTTCATTCGCTGTTCTGGACATTTTGTAGGTTTCTCCGTATTCACAGAACATAGCTTACGTTCTGGCAACGATTGTACGCGATTAAATCGCGCATGTAATCAACGCGAAACATGATTTCTTTCTTTCGCTTTTTCTATTTTCGTCATGGCCGCTTGGCGCATCTAATCGGCGAACGTATTTTCTCCTCGACGTATCCCTACAGCACACGTAAGTCGAATCGTGTTTATTTTTTACCATCCTCCCTAGAGGACGTGAGTCGCATTTTTGAAAGAGTCAAACACTTTCGTAGCCACAGGAGAAAGACTATGAAATCAGGGACGTGAGACGTTTCTGCGTTTGAAAATGTGAAAGCTTTTCAGAAGCGGGAAACCTGGGATAAATACACCGTGGTTCGAGGCGTGCTGGGAACTAGGAACGATTTAACCGTGAAAAAGCAGAGCGCAATAACGACACGGTGTAACAGCATGGTGGCGTTACGGTAGGACACGGCCAATTATCTCAGTTTACGCATGGAAAAAGTACTCGTAAAAAGCGGCCATTGTTATTGCGCCAAATCACAGTGAAGCTGGAGGAGTAAAACGGAAAGACTGCACGTTTATGACTCGTTTACGCCTGTACCAAGAAATTCCACCTTCTTCGGGAAAGCCTAAGGAATTTGAAAGAAACCGATTATTATGTTTACGTTTTGTTGACATGGTCGAGGTTTAACCCTTTATGCTCGAGAACAGACTCTTAGTTACCACTTGGCAAAGATATCAGAATTAATAGTCGATGTTAAGTTTAAAATAATGCAACGCGATATAGTTTCTATGGTGACAAAAAATGATCAAATGTAAAGGGTTAATCCTTTGCACTCGAGAGGTGAGCCTCAGTCACCATTTCATAAAATTTGGAAGATCGATATTAATTGATGTATCAAATTTAATGTAATGTAACAGTGTGCAAGGTATCGAAAGCAAATAATTCTACAAGTCTATTATTATACAAATTCTTTATTTACTGCTCAAAAAAGTATCGTCAGTTTTTTAAAAGAGAATCCTTGATTTTCTACTCTTCTCTAGCCAAAAAAATTGTCGAGTGCAAAGGGTTAATCTCGTACAAGTAGAAAATTTCGCGTTTTACAAATTTGTACACGATCAATACGACGTTAGCTGTAAAATTGAGTGGCATCGAAACTTGCGCCCATGAAATTGTTCTGAATTCTAAAATGATTGAAATTAAAAATGAGTCATGGTAGTGTATTGTGCGTGACAAGCGGTCGAAGCGGTATTATTATACGTTTCTGTCGTTGACGAGCTCTCGAGCTTTTAATTCCACGCACACGTAACAGATCCCCTTTGAGCACTTGTGAACGAATCCTCGTGTAAAAATACGCAAGGGAGACGTAGCACGTTTAATTAAAGTCCGAATCGTTCTCCGACTCGTGGTCCGACAACACACGGGAGTCACACATTGGCAAACGGGAACGTAATTGATGGTTAATTTTTTCTGTCGCAATTATGAGACTCGAGTGGAATAAATTTGCGGCGCGATCAAGGAAATATACCGGCGAAATTCTCGTGGTAGCTCCGTCTCGACGAAAGAGAGAAGAATCGATGAATCCTGGTTGATGAAATTTTCGACGACGTTTTTATAGCTTTCAGCCCTTTAATTTCACGCATCAAAGAATCCTCCTCACCCTCTGTGTCTGTACCCCCGCTCTTGTCTTCTCGCCCCTGCAATTCCTACCATTGAAACTCGCGACAGAGGAAGACCTACGATGAATGCCGTTGCGAATGCGATGAAAGAAAGGGTTGAACGAGAGAAAGAGATAAATTCGCGGGGAACCCCTTACTTACGATCGGTGGTGCGCGACGCGTCTGCACGACACCCGATAAAAACTGTCCCAAGTGTCTGGGGACTGAATCGACCGTGAACTAACTGTCGAAGCGTCTGCATCTATAAAATACTAGAGAAAATTATCTCCACCCCATCGGTAATAAAAACGAGCTACAAACCCCCTGTTCCTCGTTATAATTTCTACGCGCGAGACCTTACTTTTATCGTTGGCGTTCCTCGTTAATTTCTCTCGACGTTAAATACTTCTGAAACGGGGGTAAGAACTGACCTTTCTGGAATTATTCTTGGAAAGAGAATCGTAATCGACGCGAGTCACAAAGTGCACCAGTGGCGTATTTTCATAACGTTTCGTCGAACACTTTATCACGTCTAAAATCAAATGTTTCAAGATAAGACGAGGGAGGTCGTTCTTTCTCTTTCTTTTTCGTACCAGTTGCACAGCTAGGTCATAGTCGATGTATGTTTCGTAGAAACTGTTACCGGTGCCTACCACGAACGCGGTGGTAAGTTTGGCTGCATTTCAGTAGTCGTTTGTCGCTACTCGTCCGACCGGAAAATTGTCAGCTCGCGAATATCCGACCGCGACGCGGGGGACGTCGATCGATCAAACGCACCCCCCGCGAAGGTTGATCCTTGCCTCTTGTATCTCTGAAAGAACCACCTGGGTTTTCATTGATTCCGGAGACACAATGTCGTTGCACACGCGAAGCGGAGACTCGTATTATGTAGAAGTCGACACGAGGGATTTAAATGCCAGCGTTCGAAACGATCGCGTCCGCTTCTGCTCGAGTTGCAGCAACGTGAATTCATTCACGTGCGATCGCGAGGCACCACCACCGCTAGGTTAATAAACCCCGTCGCGCATGCATATGCAAAGCTGACTCGTTTTCTAATGACATCCTCTGCTCTTCCTGCTCCTCTGCGGGCACGGTTTGCAGAATGATTTCGTCGATTCGTTGGCTTCGTGTAGGCGTTCGATGTAGCATACACGTTGACACTCGATTTACTCGAGTACCGCGACCGGGATTCTTTTAACTGGAAAACTCGAGCCGATGTTGGGTTAGGTCTTTTTAGTTCGTTGCAACGTGAATTTCAGCAAGAGGACCGAACCGAATCTCGGTTTTAATTTCGCGATGGATTTATTTATACGTTTAATCGTCGTTTCTATGATAATTTATTCCTTTGGCGAGACGTAATTTATTTCTGCCGTTGCTACACGTTTTAGACATTTACCCGGAGCCCCATAAATTTGACCCTCGAGGACGAAATGATTCCACGCAGCGAGAATTTCGATCTTTCTATTTTTATCAGCCAGCAACGCGTCTCGAGAGGTATGAATTCATTCATTAAAGACGATAGCTCCTTAATGCGTATGGAGGATGAGACGTGTGTCCACGTAGTTGTCACCGAGCCTGTGTACACGATCGATGTGGGCGTGTGCCGTGGATCACGCGACCCTCGTTTACAATAAGCCCTTTGACACACGACCAAATGAAACCCACGCGTCTTTGAAAGGATCTCGCGACGCCGATGAAAAAAGCGGATTCTTTCAGACCGGCTTACTCCATTCAGCAGGCCTTTAAACTTTCAGCTGACCCGTTAGCAAAACGAGACGATCGACCGGTTTCTTCTACGTGTCTCGCGAATCCAGACTCGACGTTTTAAGTTTCCAATAGCTTCTTCCATATCTGTCGCGGTCTGGAACGCTGTCTGCGTGTCTCTTACCTAGAATTTCTGGAATATCGTTGATCTACTTAGTCAAGGATTAACGTGGTCTATCGTATTAGAGTATATACGTATAATATTGGTCAGTCGCGTCATGGTGCCTGTTAGTCGAGGCATTACTTCATCGGTCTGGCAAAGAACACGGCAAAGGACGTTTGCTTCCAGCGATGACGACATCGGGCTTGTCGAACTTGCCGCGACACGTACCACTAGTTCTATGAATTCCAGAGTAATTTCTACGTGTCTCAAAGATAAATCGAGTCGACTAATGGACAATGAACGAGACGAATCAGCGTTTCCTTGCGTCCCCGTTTTCTCGTATTATTTTTGATATTCTCGATATAGGAAGCGTGCTCCATTTTACATCGGGGTATAAGTTACAAAAGGTGTTTTCTCCTGTCCTTTTTTTTTTCCCCCCTGTTCAGTTACAGCGTTGCGCAACAACACAGGAGGGCGCAGATTTATGTAATTACTCTTTTGTCGGGATCGACGGTTGCGTGGCTATGTAACGAGATATTCGGCCAGAATTGAACGTTAAACCGTGATTTCCGTTTAATGATACACGTAGGTCTCTCCCTTTTGTATGTCTGCTGGTGCATGACTCACTCTGGTCGCGCGCAGCTCCTCAAACTATCGCGAAAACCTCGGGGAATCACTGCGAGTGCGTTTTTCCGCTCGTTCTCTCGGCGAGCTGCACTAATGGTATTTGCAACGACAAACAACGTCCTAGTATAGCTCTGATTCTATGCAATTGAGGTTGAATTGCTATTTGCTCCATGGTATTGCATAAGGGACCACATTCGAGCTATTTCGCCGTTGATCGTCTATTCGAATAGCAGATTCGACAAAGCGTGTCGGTCAGGGTCGCGCCGATATAATTTCGTGGATATTTTTGATTCGCTAAATCGAACCAGCATTTCAACGGATTTTATACGCAATGTCATTACATCGAAACCTTTTTCTATGAATCCCTCTAGACACGCGCTACGATCGATCGTAAAGCAGACATAATATTTTTATAGCAGCTTTATTGCGTCTAATAATAAATAACTCGTATATTTTGATAGGCACGATGTTATAAATATCTCCACTTTATTAGCTTCGTATCGAGATATTATTCTTACGTGAACGTTTTATCTGTCTTTGTCTAAGGGCCAACGACCTGTGATAAATGCACACACGTGCATTCGTTGCACCTAACTATAACTTGTACGTGAAGTTCTTGCGAAATCGTTGGTCTAGTACTAGTACTTTTTATCATATCTCGGTCTCTGTACGCATGCGGATCCCAGACAATTGTGCAAATTTGTGCCATTGGGATCTACTCGTGTGTGCCATTACGATACAACAGTAAATCTAATCTACAATGTTTTCCTGCGGCAAACTGGAGACGTCGTGGACAGAAATGCGTATTTGGCGTGCTTCGGGTGATAATTCACGAACGTTAAATCATCGAAGCAAGAATAATATAAGCTTTGATTAGGAAAAATTTTTATTAGGGATATATCTATCGTGGAAATTTTTCTTCCAATTACTCAGGTGTGTGAGATAATGAACTTCGGAGTATTTCGTAGCAATATTTCTGTTTGTTCTTATACTTTTTCTTAGTTAATGAGATAGGAACCGGGGCGCTTTATAGACGGGGTACGTGTAACTCGAAGAGCTCCGGCAAATATTGATTATTTCTCTACATGGCACCCTCTAGTCTAGACAGGATCTATACTCGAATACACTGAAACAGCACGCGATATTTCCTCGATGTAGTCGAAGATTAAGAAAACAGATTTATTTAGAAGATTATTTCGCGCGCCATCTCTAGCGAGATAATGAACCCGGTGTACAACATGGATTAACACGCGGAATCTTCTTAACACAGGGCTGAAATATGCCGGAGGAACAGAAATCCGCTGGTGGTCAACCAGAAGTAACGGCAGAAAATGGAACCGGAACAAACTCACCAACGAAAAGTCCAGTTAGCAAAGGTAAAACAGCTCTTGCAAGAATCACTTTACTGGATGGAACTGCCAAAGATTTTCACATAGACGTAAGCTATCAATTTTGTTGTTCGTTCTGCAAGAAGAATGAAGCTCGGCGTTCATCAGACTGGATGAGAAATTGATTTTGTTCCAGAGGAAGGCGAAAGGTCAAGAATTACTTGACATGATATGCCAGAGTATGAATCTAATGGAGAAAGATTATTTCGGTCTTATTTACGAGGACAGACACGATTCACGAAATTGGTTAGATCTGGATAAAAGAATCGCAAAATTTGTAAAAAGTAGGTAGATTCTGTTTACACTTATATTATGTGATATCATTATTGCAATCAATTTGTTACTTTTATCTCTGCAGACGAACCATGGAAATTTAATTTCGAAGTGAAGTTTTATCCACCCGACCCAGCTCAATTGCAAGAAGACATAACTCGTTATCAGCTATGCCTTCAAATTAGGAACGACATTATCACAGGACGATTGCCGTGTTCCTTTGTGACTCATGCTCTTCTAGGTTCATATTTAGTTCAATCAGAAGTTGGAGATTACGATCCAGACGAGCATGGCCGCACATATTTAAAGGATTTCAAGTTTGCCCCGAATCAGACTCCAGAATTAGTAGAAAAAGTAATGGATCTGCATAAAACACATAAGTTAGTCTCGTCTATTAGTTAGCTGTCTATTTACATGATAATGGAATTAATTCGTAAAGAACGGTAAAGAAATTTGTACGAATTTTTAGAGGACAAACACCTGCAGAGGCAGAGCTGCATTATCTCGAAAACGCAAAAAAATTAGCAATGTACGGGGTTGATCTCCACCCTGCTAAAGATTCTGAAGGCGTTGATATAATGTTAGGCGTATGTTCATCGGGTCTTCTCGTCTACAGAGATCGATTGAGAATTAATAGGTTTGCTTGGCCAAAGATACTAAAGATCTCGTATAAGAGGCATAACTTTTACATAAAAATCAGGCCAGGTGAATTTGAGCAGTTTGAGTCCACAATTGGTTTTAAACTAGCAAATCACAGAGCTGCGAAAAAGTTATGGAAAGTATGCGTGGAACACCATACTTTCTTCAGGTAAATAATCATTTAAGTGATTTTAATTAGCAAAATAAACTAACACGCACATAGATATAAAATAATACCTACATTTTTTAGGCTCATGAGTCCTGAGCCTGTAAAGAAAGTGGGTTTAATACCACATTTGGGTTCTCGTTTCCGATATTCAGGAAGAACTCATTACGAAACGAAGAAGACTCCTATTGACAGACAACCTCCACAATTTGAAAGATCTTTAAGTGGTCGACGTCCTACATCTCGTAGTATGGATGGTAAAAAGACTTTTGATACTTAACTTTAGACGCAATATACAGCAAGCGCCGTTTTGACACCATTATCGCAAAGTTATCACGTTAAGATTTTGAAAGGTATGTGTGCATTATACAGCGCTAGGAGGTCCTAAACAAGTTGAATCTTATGGTTCAGAACCAAGTAAGAGGCATACAATGAGCTATGAACCTGAAATGATTCCTGACATGGAGCACATGGATCAACGGCCTAGTCCCATTAAAAAACAGAAAGAAAAGGTAAAAAAGGATACACATATACACACATATAAATATATATATATTTGTATATATATATATATTATCGAACATAGTAATAGTTAGTAGAGGATGCATGAAATCGTCATGCAAATTGAAAATTATTCCATGAAAAATCATTTTAAAAGAAATTTCTGCGGTCTACGCTTTCAAACAAAGCTTCTTTTTAAAGATTTTAATGGTATAATAATAAATTTAACTAATTAATCGTCCCGTTATTGTCGTGTAACGATACTTCTTAAGTCCAATCGAATTGATAATTATATTATGAAATGGAGAAACTGTAGAACACCAATTGGTTCACTTAAAATCAGAGAATAACGTATTTCATAAAAAATTCAAGTTAACCATTATGCACTATTGTTTTTTAACTAAACAAACAATATTCGTAGCCAATGGCATGTTGATAAGTTTTGGTATGCCATGTATTAGCCATAGTTGAATGCATTAGATATTTTAATACATTTATTCCGAAATTACCAAATCAATTTAGACAATGCACATGCAAGTTAATTAACTTCGATTAAAAATTACATACAAAAATTTAATATTAGATAAGGCAAAACTAATATCATTTTCCATTCATTTGAAATAACACTTGGTTAATTAACTTGTATATATTTATACGGACTTGAAATATTTTTCTGCAAGAAATTTAGAAATGTGTAGATCTTACAAGACTTTATCTTATAATTATTATCGAAAATTGAACACATGGCATTTGTATGTAATAATTTAATTTCACAAATTTGAATTCGATATTCACATCCTAGTGCTTCAACTATAAAAACTAACTGACACCTAACTAACACCGGTAGCTCACACGCAAAACAAGTGCTGGAACAACATCAGCTAGCAGTACCAGTAGCCTGGAAGGAGAATATGATGCAGATCGTGGCAAAAAGGTATAGAATTTCACCTGGAACATACTGTCATGCATTAACCAACATATTTCTATCCGTATTAATGTATGTGACCATTTGGTGTTTTCCTTTTTTTCGATGCATGCCGCTATTTTTTATTTATTTTTTGCAAATATCATACGGCCATCGCCTCAAAGTTGAATTTTCAAATTGTTTAAAATTTCATTTATTGTGACATCACATGAGCATGCGCAGACGCAAATATTTTAATAAGTTATTTAACTGCGCTAATGCTTATGTTCGCATGTACATAACAATCATCACATATAACAATATATCGTAAGAAATATTCAAGAAATGTATTATTAATCACAAGTAAACTCTTCAGGAAAGTATATTCATCTAATAAGTCAACAACTGATATTTTTTTGAGAGCGCAGACCGTAATTAATTATCCAGCATGAAATATACGTCAAGAGAATGTGAAACATATAGTTGATAATAGCTTAGCAATAGAGCTGAATCGTGCTTATTGCATGAAGCGATGTGTGACTATAAATTTACTTATAGAAACCGGTCGGAGGAATTGCGGTCCTACCGCCCGGTGGTCTATTTAAGAAGAAAAAGGATAAACAAAACGAAAACGAAAAGGAAAATCATAATGATCTCAACAACTCTGATTTAATAAATGAAAGTGCTATTCTTGACAACAACGATATAAAGTCACCCAGTAAAAAAGAGTTGAAAAAGAAAGATAAGGAAACACCAGAAAAAAGAGATAAAGAAAAGAAAGAGAAAATAAAGGTAAGTACAATAAAACTCCATTTACCTAAACCCTTTGGAGGACAAACAGTTGATATAACTGGATCATTCTATAATAGGAGTTTACTGATTCTCTCTACTACCTATAATTTTTCGTTCAATTAATTGGGTCAAATAATCATGTTCAGATAAGTGGATTCAGTAATATTTACTTCTTCTTCTGCTTATGGTAATATTTTAATTATTCGAAGTTGGAATCTCAAAGTTTTCAGTATAAACTTATATTATTGGCATTATACATAAAATTTTCTGAATATTTTCTTCTATGATACTTCTAAACGTTTTCTCATTTCAACGTTTCCGCACTTGCTGTATTTTTCCTTGAATATTTAATACATGAATTCCATTATGTTTTTTCAAACTGTTGATTTTAAATTTTCTTCGAGGTCACTTCCCACTTTTGTCTTTAATTGCAAAGCTTTTCCACACAGAATTAATTCACTAATAGAAATACCAAACACACGTTATTACAAAAACTATAAGTAAATTGTAGATTCTAAAGCATTGTTTTGAGTAGTTAATATGATGTTTGTTTTGCTTTTATCTTTGCTACCTATTGTTATTTCTTCTTCATATTTTATTATTTCAGCTTCGTTATTTTTTACATTAATCATTGTTGATTTTCCACAATTGTACTTTTCAAATGAAAAAAGTTATTGTCTCAGATCGATTGTGAAGCATGATTGTATTTTATTTAATATGTTAATCGATTGTGTGCATTCTAATTATTATAAATGTTCATATAACTGGAATAGCATTCAACAATAGTTTATTTAACATATTGATTGCTACGAAGATTATGATAACATTGATTATAATGATCGGCAATGTCAAAATTAAGTACAACATATAAATTAAATAAACAGTTATTTTTGTAATATGTTTAATATTTCTAATTTTTAAGTAACAATGTAAAATATTACACACCTTCACAATTTTATTTTTTACTAAAATATTTATTTGCATGTATCTTATATGTGCGTATGCAATTTTTTATACCGAAACAAACGATAATATCTTAGTACCGTAAATAAGGTATACAAAATTCGTTCGGCAATCACAAACTGAAATTTCATTCCAATAAATGAAATTTTTTGTGTGAAATTTTTTGTATTGTGTGAGTGATCCAGTTATATGACTCGTTTGTCTCCTGATGGGTTCAGATAAATTGAGATCTATTTAGTTTCCATTCACACAGTATAATCCTTGCATAAGTGATTTAGAATCAGAGGTAAATATAAACCATTTTTTATGAATATTCCACAAGTATCTAATATATCACATGTTTCTGCTTCTTCGCTTGTTTCTGGAATTTTATTTCTTTTTACTAGTATCTCTTCTAGTACCACTAAATGTAAATTGAGTATTTGTTTATTAGAACCATGTATGATATACCATCTTTGATGAAATTCCTTTTTCCACACTCAGAACTTCCTAATTCACAAATTTACAATCTTTGCTCATAACTATACCACAATTAATGTAAATTCCATGTATACTGAATTCAGTTTTTTATTTGTTCACAATTTTTTTGATATAGGATTATCTTGATCTAATAGTTTACTATCCTTAGTATAAATCACAAATCAAATGATTTTTTTAACCATCTGGAAGTGATAAAATGTAATATTTTGATTTAAAATTTGTAATAAATAATTCAATTATGATTGGATAATAATTAATACTTTCTTATTATTATATACTAATAATAACAATAAAGACTGCTGATGTATTCTTATCAATGTTTGATTTAAATGTTATTTTCTGTTGTTTATATAATTTGACAGATATTATATAATTGAAATCAAGAGTAAATTTTAAGAAAAATTTAATTTTTATCCCTTTGGTTTCCTTTTTTTTTTTTCACATTCTATAATTTTTTTCCCTTTATCAAGTGTATAATTACTGCTGTTGGTGGTTGTCAATTTTAAGCTTGAGATGATGCACATCTATCTTCATATGAAAATCTAAATGACAGAAGATTTCTAAATTGGAAAAAATTCCATCTTTCTGTAATCATAAGGTTTCGTATAGTCGATCTATTTTGGAGATTTTGGAGTACTTTTCTTTTTTCTATACTTAGCTTTTCCCTTAAGGATTAATTTGTTCGTCTTTCTGATACAAATGAATTTGATTCTGTGTCACTTTTGTCTATAAATACTACTAGTTCTATATTATACTATACTATTTTAAAGGATATACGGGATACAACAAAATCCATCTCTTCAAAAGCGAAGAAAACTTTAACTTCAAGTACTACTCCAACAATAGTAAAAACTACAACCAAACAATCAGTAGTAAAGGATCAAGAAGGTGTGACACAAAATATAGAAGAGAAAGTTGAAGATCTTACACCTGGAGGCACAGGCCAAGTAACAGTTTCTACACAAATTAATAAGGTGATATAATTTTTAGAGATTAAAACTCTTCAAAATATAAAAGCACATAGCAGCATAAATAATTTCTTTTCCTAATTACAAGATAAAATGGAAAATATTGATAAAAATATAAGATATTCTGTCTATAAAACATGATATCCATTGATCCTTTCATATCATCTTTTTCTCTTTCCTTCAGTACATTTTTTTTTTTTTATTTATATTTTTATTATTATTTTTCCATTTATATTTATTTCAATATTTTACAGTATCCATATCCTTTAGGTAAATTTATATTTATCTTAGCTTGTTAAATTATTTGAATAATATTAATAATAGTGTATTCAGTAGTTTTATTATAGATATTATCATATGATTCTTAAATATTGAGTGCCTGAGTATTGCATGTGTAAACGTGTGTAATTAACATGGATGTAATTTCTACACAAAGAAATTTTTTATCATTTTGAAATTAAAGTATAGAAGATACATTATATATTGCTGCTTTATTATAAGACATTAGTTACCTTGTAGTTGTATTTAGGCAGAGGCATCAGATGATGGTAGAGCTCCATACATGACAGCAACTGCTGTTACTACACGCACTGCTACAATGCATGAGGATCTTGAAAAAAATCAGAAAACCAGTCAGGTTTGTAATATTATTATAAGTTGTTCATCTCTGCAAGAAAAAAGAAAGATTCAGATTACATGCTTTTCTATTTGTAATTTTACTGCATTTATTCATATTTTTATATGCAAATATTGTGAATTATTTCATATATTGTCTGTAATATATTATTCCATAAAATTAGAATTATTTTTTTATATTTTTTTTTATATTAGGTAGAAGAAAAAACTGTAGCGCATACAACAGCAACCAGTGCAACAAGACAAGAGCAGAGAGTAGTAACACAAGAAGTTCGAACAACAAGTCATGTTTCTGGTGAACAGGTAATGATTCATTAACAATTTGAACATATATCGAGCTCACCACTAATGGATGAAGCATGTAAGCATTTATGTAAATGATCACATACCATGTTTTTGGTTCATCCTAACATAAAATCATTAGTATATATTATATTCCATGCTAATATGGTCATTGCACATATATTTAAACAATTCTCTTTAATATTTGTGGAGATACATGTAACATCATGAAGCTTATGGTTTTTATAGTATATATTTAATTTTAAGTGTACGACATTCATTTTTTGTGTAATATATGGATAAATAAGAATCATGCACATCAGCATATATATCACGGTATCATATGTTTAAATGAAGGGATTGCAATTTTTTAGTACATCAGTAATATTTAACTCATCCAGGATATTGGTTGATTAATAAAATTTAACCAATGCTATTATTCATCTAATTATTTTTTTTATTTTTGTAATTAATTTTGCCGGCTTGGTTAACACATTGCATGGTGTAGCTGTTCTCACGAAGGCTCAGTACATCCAGTTCAAGCAGTGATGATTCAGGTACTCCAATTGACCTTGAAGATGATCAACAGGCTTTCTACAATCAATATTATCAGGTAAATCTTTAGGCTTGGTATGATTCTATTAAGAAATTACATTCTTAGAAATAAAATTATGAGAATTTAGAAAATTTAGTTCTGGGGATGAATCTTCACCAAGGTATATTGTTTAAGTATGTTTACTGTACAAAAAATATTTTTAAAGTGGATACAAATCCTTAGAATAATCAGTAGACTATTGATACTAATTTTATCATATATATCTATATATTATTAAAATACTTAAGATAAACTGTATACTTTCCATCAATATTCATTTCATACTGGTACTTATTTGTTGACATCCATGGGAACATAAAAATTTACATTCATAAAATCATTGTAGAAAACTTACTCATTATTTTGATGGTATTGGTTTAAGGTATTAATTATTAATTAGTAAGAGTAACATAAAGCTTATACTACTTTAATAATGCTTTGGTTCTTTAATTGTTTAATGTATTTGTTCTTGTAATATAATTAATATAATTGTACAGTATCAATTCAATATACTATCCTCACATTAGATACATTTTTTAATTTTTTTTGTATAGAATAAAAATATCATTAAATTTAATTTAGGGTGATCCAGCTGGTGTTGTTGAAACTGAAACACATCTTTACAAAGGAGAACCAGAAAATAATGTAACGACAACTACCACAGTACCACTAGTAGCAACTGAAACTAGAAAGGTAGCTGTTGAAAGTGAAGATGGAATGTACAGTGCAACTGGAGAAATAGTTAGTTCTCAAACAATATCCAGTAAAACTCGTACTGTTGAAACGATAACGGTAAGAATTTTAGCGCAATTCTTAATATTTAATGCGCTTGATGATATCAATATATATATATCATAATTTTAGTATAAAACTGAAAGAGATGGAGTTGTGGAAACTCGTGTAGAGCAAAAAATTACTATACAGTCGGATGGCGATCCAATCGATCACGATAGGGCTTTGGCAGAAGCAATTCAAGAAGCAACAGCAATGAACCCTGATATGACAGTAGAAAAAATAGAAATTCAACAGCAAACAGCGCAGTAATTTGTAATAGGTGAAAAATCATTTTTGTAAGAAATAAAGGGCACTCTTTGTCTAGATAACAAAATGCTCGTGATTCTAAAAAAAGACAAAATAAAAAAGATTAAATTGATATGTATTTTAACAATACATAGTAAATGATTTGACTGAGTTTTGCTATTGTCAACATTTACTTAAGTATTTTACCAAATAAAGGGCCAATCAAAAATAACGTTTATCGTGTAATAGTTGGAAAACATTATTTCTTGTAACAAATGTTGCCCAATACTATGAGCTTGAACTTGATTAAAAATCAAGTTATTAGAGAAAAAAGTCAGGGTACCTGGTACCATATATTGCAGTGTTCATATTCAAAGTATGTATTATTTACATACACAGAGACATAAATATATATTATACATATTATGTATACATAGTGATATATGTATGTAAACAAAAAGTAATTTGTTTATAATTATAAAAATATGACAGAGTGCCCTATAAACTTACATTACCGGTTTAAAGCGAATAAAATTATAATATTCATGCCGATGTCTCATATAATAAGCATATTAAGCCATTTATATAAAATTTGTTTACATAATATCCAAGACTTATTCAACATTGCTAACAAAATATTTATAAGCTTAATTTTTTAAAGTCTTTTGCAGATTTTCTGTTGCAATTATAATTTTTTTTAAAAAGAAGTTTGTCTATGAGCCTAATATAATGAAAAGCAAAACAATTAAAAACATCTTAAGAAACGTTTTGACAAGTCAAATATATGTAACTATATCATAAATATGCGTTTGAACTATATGAGCAGTATAATATACATGTATAATGTAATTTTTATGGATATAATGATATAAACAAGTCACTTAAAAGTGAGTATATAGAAGGTAACAGTGGAAGACTTATAATACCTAAGTGAGAAACACACAAAATTTTTTTTATAAGGCTTCGTACGATTTAAATATAGCTTTTCTGCAATAATTCTTTTGTATAGGTTAATTATTTGACATATTTTTTTTTTCTTTTTTTTTTTTCAAATGAATATTACATAATGTTTATTATGTGACAAAGTCAGAGTTCTCTAAGTATGAAATATTAATATATACATTAAAAAAAATATATATATATATATACATGTACACATAAACATTTATGAGTAATTGATGGAGAAAATTGAAATCTACAAAGTTTCCTATAAGTTATAGTATTACTACCAAGCAATGTAAATCAAAGAGAAAATACACATTGTTAACATTGCTATTGTATACATCTTTTATTTAATAATTTAAAAATATGTATTTGGAAACTATGTAGATTTTCTGGAATTATATACTTTAAATATAATAAGATTTATTAGTAATATTAAGATAAAAAATTATATGTATGTAACTTCATACCAAGAGTTATGATGCATTGGTCAGCGTATATGTCTAAATTTAGCTATAACTTCTGTAGTTTTAAGACTACAAGTTCATATAAAATTTTATTTGTTTAATATTTTATTTAATTTTTGTATGAACAACACAGAAATATTGCTAAGAAGGAGGAAAGGCTGATAACCTGAATTTACAGTAAAATTATAAAGATGCAAGTCATACTTTGCAAAAATAAAGCTATATAAATATATAAAGTTATAAATATTAATACATACTGCTGCTTCATATATTTGTGTATGAATAATATATATATATGTATATATATTGTACATGCGGCAATTATGAAGCAACATTAAAATATGCATATCACACTGTAGGAGGCTTGTTTATACCTTTGTTCTATCAAGTATTATTTAAAAACTATTAGTATATATTACACTTACATTTTGCACAAAGCATTTATTTTATGATACTAAACAATATGTTCACATGTTAATGATAAAGAAATCTTTTCTACTTTTTACTTAATACGTAATAAACAAAGAAATATTTACATACATATTAGTTTTGTAGTTGTTTATATTCATTTTGTCTTGTCCTGAAGATTGTGAATTTTTTCAAAGGTGTATAGTACCAGTAGTATTTCATTACATTATATTATATTATTTTATATTGAAGAAGAAATATTAAAATCTTTGTAGAACAAAGGATAACCATAGACCGTCTACGTGCGAATTGCATTTCATCTTATATGTTATATTTTGTTATACGCTGGCAGCTAATTAATTGTTTAAATGTTATGAAATATATTGATTCACTAATCTCATTTTATTTTATAGTGTTAGTTTATACTTCAAATATGCTCAACCACTGTATTAGTTCGTATTTTTTTTATTTATGAGCAATTTTAGAAATTTCGTAGATTGATCTTTATATTTTAATGTTATGAAAGGCAGTAAAGTTACGTTAAAGAAGAAATTGATTTTCTACTTGTACCTTTTACATTATGTAATTGTATAATTTATATATTTGTTTTTTATTGTATCTAACATTCCATGCTTATAGTGACTAACAAATATGTATTATAAATGCCTGTGTCATTTAAAACTTATTTATTCGTTTATTCGTACAATTATATTTATCACAATTTTATATTAGCTCTGCTTGAAGAGGTTGCTACAAAGTGACATACAATGCAGTAGACAAAAAACGATTTCTTCATTACATGCAATTCACGAGCTTTTTGGATTTTAGTTAACATACAAAGTTAAGCTTTAAAGATAAGATATAAATCTTCAAGCAGTGTACAAATATAGTTAATAGTATTTTGTACTTTAATACTTCTGTGGTTCATTTAGTGATAACATGATGATTATAATATTATATACTTAATATTATAGTTCTATGACATAATTATATGATAGTACCTTATGTGTAAAAACGTCGTAACTGTTTAACTATGCACGTTCTGTTATATTTAAATTGAATTATTGTTTTACACGCATGATTTTCAATGTACTTTATTTTAGCTATGAAAATGTTACGTTGATGCACATATGATATAAATGTCGCCTTAGTGCTAGAAAGTTGTACAAAATAATTGTAATTAGTTTGCCGCCAGCTTTTTACAATAATTTGCCATATATTTCTTTTCAGCATTATTTGATCATAGATTTTATTTTTATCTTATACACGACTTTCCAGCATGCAGGCAGTAATTAATAATTTACATAAAAATTATTTAATACGTGATTATAAAAAATTAATCGCAAATGAAAAATATACAATGAATTATAAATAATTTTCTAAAAAAGAATATTAATAAACAAGAAGAATACCTCTAATCCAAAAAACTGGTTTTCTTGTATGTACCATATTACATCAGTAATATGTTAATAGATGATTCAGATAGGTGGCAATTTAATAGCTTCATTATTCAACAAAGGTCGCATACTACGAGAATTTCTTGCCTTAATTATATTACCCCAAAACGGCCTTGGTGCAATATGACCATTTTGTAAAATATTTGAACCTAGTGTAATTAAAAATATTACTTGATTATTAATGATATTTTTACATATATGGAAAATTGTAGAAATAGCTTTGCATATTTAGTTACCTGTTTTCCATAATGGAAACAAGTATGATTCCGTTTTATTAATTGTAGTTGAAATTGTAGTAGGAAATTTTGAATCAGGATGTTGAAATATCGCTCTAGATATTGACTCTTTTAATGCAGGTGGTAAATTTAATGAACCTATAATATACAAAATTTAATTGAAGAATAATGTTTATTATGAGAAAATTATTGAGAACCATACTTGTAATATCTTCATCTAGTGCTGTAGTCAATGATTTTTTGGTATGATGAAGATGTTTTTTTATCTTAAATCTTTTCATGAAACATCTACAGACATCTGATATCATTTTTCCATCAAAAGATTCTGTAAATTAATATCATTTAGAGCCAAATGTAAATGCTAAGAAAGAGGAATCCGAATAAATAAACATACTTATTGTATCATTATTTGCAATAAGGTTTTCTTTGTACCTATAATATTGAGTTACTGGATTGCCTTGTAAGGATAAGTCTGTTAACGAAATCAAGACACTTATACTTTCTGTTAGATCATCAATATCGTTAATAAAATTGTTTGTAGCATCTAAAACTTCTAATTTACGTAATTCCTTAATGCCTTTTAGAGATGTAATTTTATTACCCGAAATATTAAGTACTTTCAAACAGGTCTAAAAGAAAAAATTGCATAAAAAGAATATGCAATAAAAAAGCAATAATGATTCGAACTTACAGATAAAGTAAGTATACTTCGAGGATCAAAACACAATGATTCTCCAAAAGATAATTTTTGATTTTCTATTTGTAAAACTGTTAGGTTTTTCAAGCATTCAAGGCCCTCCACTATCAATATTTTATTATATCCTAAATAAAGTGTTTGTAATTTTTCAAGAAAATTTAAATTTTCTATTTTACTTATTGCATTATGCTGTAGGTATAAATGCGTTAAGTTAGACGCAAAGTGTAAATTCTCTATTATCGAAATATTGTTATTTTGTAAATATATTACTTTAAGATTTTTGTAATTGACAAAATTGCCCTGAAACAATATGATTATACATAAAAATTATATCTAATTGTTATTATCTTAATAAAAATAACTTACAATACTGCTGATAAACATATTGTTCATACGTAAATGAGTTAAGATATGTAATTGATCTTTTTTTACTTTCTTACTGAGTGATTTATTTAATTGCATTTGGGAGTATTTTCTCTCAATATATTCAGCAGTTAATCTTACCATAATTGTAAAATTTTATCAAATAATAACGTAAGTATAAAAAATTGAACAGTGAAATCTGTAATTGATCAAACATTTGTTGAAACGACGCGCCTTTTACACCTGACATCTATATACTTCATTGGCAACTATATCGACCATACTTTATTTTAACGACATCTATGTTCATTTTTAAACTACATTTTATACAGTGGAGGATGAGGATTGCGACTTTTATGGTTTTAAATGTTGTGAAATTAAAAACAATGCGATAATGGATGTGGATTTGTTGAGACCAGGCACTGTACCAATATCTCCAGATACAATTCTTTGGTTTGAGTTTTTATTAAATCCGTCTTTATTGAATCAACACTTATCTAAACCTTCTCCCGGTAAATAGCAATCTAACCTTAGCTATTGTATTTGATGCAAACAACAAAGTAATTTCAAAAATCATTACGTTAATTGTACTTTTATAAAATTATTTCAGATCCCTCTGCAACGGATCTAATAATTAAATTTATGACAATAAACTCAGAACATAAGGAAAATGAAGTAAAAATTGTTGATGCAGAATCAACTGATGCAAAACCTAATACTGCAGTTAAATGGACTCATAGAAATCTTGCTTTGAAAATACTTTCGTTGAAAGTAGCAGCTCATTTAAAATGGGATTTAGATATATTAGAAAAAAAATTACCATTACCAATACAGTTAACATTATTGCAAGATCTTCTTTATATAACGTCAGATTTAACTGTTGAAATACCAATTATACCTGAGTTTACAATGCATCCAATTTCTGATCAAGTGCTATTTACAATTGTTTTATATCATAGGTGGCATATAAGAGCAATCGTTTATAGAGCCTTGAATAACAAACAATCCAAACAACAATTTCTTCATATGTAAAATAATAAATCTATATAATTAATTGCAATATTTTTTCTATAATTTCTTTTTAAGGAATTTATTTTATTGCAGCCCAGGTATTCAAGAATCAACATATGTACCACCTGGTATAGTAGATGACATAATTAGAAAATTAGAAGCTCAAGTGTCTAATAGTATAAATGTGTTAAATAATGTTCTTGAAAGTAAAGATATAAATCCAAAAATGTTATCTTTTGACACTTTCCAAATGTTATCTGAGGATAGCACAGAAATTAAACAAAATTGGGAAAATATGTATCCTATAAATTTAGAAGAGTTTAAATGTCAGGTATAATATATTTTTTATTATTATTATTATTACTAAGTGATATATAATATTTTTTGCATTGTTGATTATTTCAATATTTTTAGATACATTATGATTTAGCAAGATTTCATTTGTTAAAAGAGGAATACCAAGAAGCAAAACGTCATATTATAGAAGCCAAAGAATTGTTTTATAATTTCAATAATTCAGAAGATAAGCTCTACTGTAAAGTTCAAAAAGAATGTTTAGATGGTTGTTGCTTAGCATGTGAAGTACCTATAGAAGGAGTTACTTCTAGTCTTACTCAACAATTGCAAGCATCAATTAAAGATCAATATACTGTTTGTATCAAAGTATTATTTAAGAAATTGACTTTTATATAGAACAATTAATGTTGATTATTTATTTCAGAATATATTGCAAATTCTGCAGGCAGATAATATTTCAAGAGAAATTCCACAAGTATATAGAGATAATTTAGAACTTGATGTACAAGGAGGATCTGTTAATCGAAAAATTGTAGTAGCACGTGATCTTTTACTTCAAATTCAGTGTTTAAATTTGGTTAGAAAAATTTTAGATGGTAATATAATTCTTGGTGATTATGTAACAGAAATACAAGCAGCTGGTAGCAAAGGCATTGATGTATTCTTTTGGGTATGATCATTTCTCTATCATATTAAATTATGTTTACTTATAATTTCATTTTCAATATTATATAAGAACTTTTTTAGGCTCTTGGAAACGTTTTAGAACAAGTCAATGGTACAGATAATAAACGTATTTCTCGCTATCTTCTTTATCTTGTCCATACAAGTAACATTGATGGGTTTGCTTCTAAAATACTTAGTGATCCTTTATATATAGCATTATTTAATGAGGCAGAACTGGATGAAATTAGAAAATCAGCTAGTGTTGAAGACCTTGAATTGCCTGATTTATTACTGAAAAATGATTGGGGTATACCATTAGTAACATATACTCGTTAGTATAGACATATTAATTATTTAGTCCAAAATATTAATTATTAAGTGCCATTGTAATAATGATTTATTATAAATTTCAGAAAGTTCAAGGATAGAAATATTTGCATTAGAACAAAAATTAATACAATCATATGATACTAATGAAATTCACGAAATATTGATACATTTAGATGGTAAACATCGAATGAAACCTTTATGGCATGTAAATAGTTGTTGGGAATTACCTATTCCATTACAAAGTGTTGTAATGTCACTTCCTAGAGGTTTTCTTCAAGATTATTCATATGTATTACTAGCAAAAAGTAGAGAATTAGTAATCTCTAAAGACTTTGAAGGAGCAATTGAAATCCTAAGTGTATTAGAAAAAGAAGTACAACAGCATTCACAAAGTGGCAACACATTATTATTTAAATTATGTAAATTGGTGAACTGGGAATGTTTGCTTGTTGAAATTTGGAGGTGCCTTTACACTTGGCCAGCAACAAATATATGTAAGAATATTTGATTTTATAACTGATTGTTACAAAAGTAATTGAAAACAAAAATTTATAGGTGATACACAAAGTTTAATTACAAGATGTAAACAATGTCTTGGAGCATTACAAGCAACAGATCAAGTTATTCCACGGCAAGAAATTATTGAATATTGTACTGTTTTTCTTTTAAATATGACTGAATGGGATTATTTAACAAGCCTTGAAAAACGTTGGAGTTACTCAGAATTTGCAGCAGCTATTAGTAGTGTTTGTCAAGATATTGTTAAATACAAAGGAGGAAGGAAATTCCCAAGAGAAGCATGGGATATGAGTTAGTTTTAAGAGCGCCATATAGAAAATTCTGCATTGGAATATAATATGAAACTATGTTTTTAGTGTTGGCTGCCTTTTTACCAAGTAGAGATCAACCACAAAAGCGAAGCAACAGTGGTAATAGTGGAACAAGTACCGGTGGTGCTTCAAGAGATGTTATTGCTAGTATTGGGGGTACACTTAGTAGATTACGCGAACCTATGGTTCTTACTGTTGTTATTTCATTATTAGCGCGTTTGCGAAATGTTTTACGAGATGAATCTAGTCTTGAACTACATACACAGTATCTTTCCCTTTGGCCTGCTGGTGTACCAAAGTAAGTTTCTACATAACATAAAATTTACTTAATTTTACAATACTACATAGATATCATTTTACAGTGCAAATTCTTACAACATCAGAAGCATTGGGGAATTATTGTTTCAATTATTAACACAAGCTTTGAAATATTATCCAAGTAATGTTCCTTGGTTGAGATTGATGGGAGACCTTAATTTTGGTATGTACTTAAAGAATGATTATATTTTAAAATGAAAAAAGAAAAATATATAATATCTCTAGTTCTAGGATATTATGAAAGTGCAATAAAGTATTATTTAGAAGCTATTATGGTAGCTAGTGATCTATTTAGTCAACCAGTACCAAGATCACAGATCGACGATCTTGTTTATAGACGCATGATTAAATGTTGCGCTCATTTACAATGTTATACTCAAGCTGCTGTATTATGTCAATTTTTGGAGGAAGTAGATTATTCTTTAGCTTTTAAAATGGCTGCTAGTGATCAAAAAAGTTGTGCTCCAGCTGATGCTATGGATGCATATTATCACTGCATTTGGGATACTACAATACTTGAATATTTAATTAATTTACACACAAAACGCGGTGAACATCATAGGAAACAATTAGCGGTTAGTAATTATATATCATTTACTTAAAGATATGCATATATTTATATAAAATTATGTTTTAAGATCAAAGTAATTGGTTTATTGGAATTAAATTCCAATAATAATGAAGAAATACAGAGGGAAGCAGCAAATATTCGAAAAGCAAAATTTTTAAGAGCATTAGCAAAACAGTATGTTTATTAATAAAAATGTGTATAAAACCTTATATCCTTGTACAATAATTCTGTATCATTTAAATACAATGTTTTTTATATTTACAATTACAATCAATAATTAAAACAATCAAATCTCCCTCCTTTACCGCGTTCAACTCTTACCAATCACAGCTTTTTGTTTTTTACTCTAATCGATCTAATGAAATACGGAACTGATAAAATAATTTTATTACAAACGATACTTTATTAAAGTAACATCATAAAAAATATTTTTCAAAATATAAACATTTATTTGTATATTATAAAGAAGTTTTTTAATACTTTCTAATATATCATCCTTTTCATGTGAGTCATCTACGATCAGCCCTTATCGTTGAATACATTGTCGTTGCGTAGTGCGATGGGTGCATATTATTGCTGTACGTAAACGTATACATAAATTATGTTTATATGTTGGAAACAAAGTGTGCAAAGAAAGTTAATTTTCGACGGAAGGTTATAAGAAATACAGCAATTTGACAAATTGTAGGTAACGTGTAAAACATTGTTAAAAACAGTTCTCATAGAACTGTCTTCATAAACAAGGCGCCATGATGTTCTTGCAACGCCATAATACTGTTATACGACGTTTCGTTCTTTCTATGATAAATATTTGTAATTAAAACTGCATGTGAGGTATGAACGGAATCAGTTCCGTTGTATTTATTTTTTTGCATCACAATAATTTCTAGCTGTTTGATTTTGGTGAGTACGTGATAAAGTTTGTGAGTACCTCCTAAAATTCTGAAAGTTCTCTGTACTATTGCTTATTGCAAATACTCTGATTCTACCACGAAAAGGAGTGAAAAAGATAGAGATTGGAAGATAGAGAAAAGTCGTAGTGAAAGAGGAAAAGAGAGAGAAAGATTATGTACGCTGTGAGTGGCTATACTGTATTACAAGAAAAGTTGCTCAGATATTTA